TCGCATTCGTATATCCATTCAAGATCTCTAGATCCTGATCTTTAGGATCGCCACCCTCTCACTGACATAGCTGACAGCTTTTATGATATTAGTTGGGTTAAAAATTAAAGAATGTTTGCAATGAAAGAAAAAGTTAAACCGGATTCTGCATTCAAAATTCCATGTGCGACTCGAATACACGGTAGACATTTCTCAAGCCACAAAATTGGGAAATGTCCTTTATATATGCCCAAATTTCCGTTAAATACAGCGAAAATTCCAGCGTCACCCTTAAAAAAAAAATATTTTAACTGATCTTCTTTCCGTCGCCCAGGTGACGCCGATGCGAGAGTAACTTAGATGCCATCTGAATCAGTGTAGCAAGCAAGAATATTATACGTATGTTATTTATGCACTTAATTTAAAAGCTCCGACATTGACTGCGAACTTTCTTATTCAATATATTAATGAATTCACCAATCGCTGTATACTCCTACTAAGAGGTTAAAAAAGCTAATACAAACAATCTTGAACTGTGAAATTTGTGATTTTACAACAATAAATAATCCAGTTTACTAAAAAACGAATAGTCGTATAGTATGCAACTACACTGGTAAACGCAATAACATTAAACAATTGAGTTACAGTCCTTTATTTGATATCCCAAAACTTTGTTAAACCATGAACTTAAAGCTTTTTCAATGCCTTTTTAAAACAAAGCCTTTTAAGTATAAAGGTCAGTAGATAACTTCACTACAATAATAACTTGTACATAGAACACAATAAACCTACCAACATTGTTTATTATGCTGCAAGGCGGTTTGCTAGTCTCTGAGCTTGTGCTACTAAAGGTAGAGCTATGGTTGCCATAGAAGAGATCGTCGCAAACGATTTGTCTCCACTGCAGTGGGACCGGCGGATTGGCGGGACCGGCAGTGCACATCAGAGTGAGGAGATCTCCTGCTGTCACAGTGACCAATTTTGGAGGCTCTCCAGCGGGATTTACCTGTGGAATGCTATGGGCCTCCGTCAGACGGTCAATACGAATGTGTTTTGGGTGGAAAGTGAGGTTCACGTGGAACGCCGCACTCGTCTGTGCCTCAGAGGCCGGAAATCCGGGGTTGGATGAAACGCACCTTGGATAAAATTTATTACCGTGGGTTATTAAATGAGTCCATTTCATCTTTTTAGGATTTAATTTAGTTGATCGTGTAACCCTTTATACACCACAAATGTGTGGCTAGCAGTAGGCCACTAAAATTTGGAACTTCCATATTTTTGTGCTAGTTTGATAGTACCGATTCTCCGCCATCCTGTGCTCCTCATGAATTCCTTTAGACACAGAATTTCTTAATAGCTAGTATTTTATGAAATAAATGCACACTTTTACACTTATTTCTAAAATCTTGCTTTTGCAGCTAATGAAATCGAAAAGGTATGAGATCTCTTCTAAGAACATTATGTGGTGGAAAATCTTAGGGATGGAGTGCAGTGCATCACTGGATCTGCATAACAGTAGTACCCGGACATGAGGGGGGGGGGGGGGTAGATACTAAACTTACTTGAAAGAAGAAAGGTGATCATCACCTGTAAGCTGAATATCGAGGTTGGAAGAAATCCGTTTTCTGTGTTTGTCAAACTCTGTAGTAGATATGAGGTATATAGGTGTGTATTCTGGATTTTCGTATGTAGCTAGAAGAGAAGAATAGTGTTTACGTTAGGAGTTAATTACCACATTGATGAATGGGATATGAAGATAATTTCACGGCCAATAGTACTGAAAGTTTTGAGTTTAAGCGGCCCATGTATTTATAAGTTATGTTCTTTATTTCATAACTTTGACGGATTATTTAAGGCAGCTACTAGTGCGTACATATCCACGGCCACCATGATAATGCGGGCCCTGATGCAGTTACGTCTGCAGGAGCATCTGCTTGCTGTCACTATTGATAAAAGAGTATCGGTTAGCTAAATTTATAATCGACTTCAAAAGGTGCTGCAAATTGAACCATTATTCAAATTAAAAAGTGATCATAATTTTTGGCATTTTATAAAACAATCACGTTTTTATATTCACTAGACAAATTTTCGCACCCTATGCCATGGAACACATGGAAATCACTCGTATCTATCACTTTTAATTTTAGGAATCATCTGCCTTTACACTATACTATGCGCATGGCAGCAAATATTAGGTAATTTACTTTAGTCCTTTTTGGTTCCTTTCCCTGAACAAGAGGTTTAGGTGTCCGCACCAATATCAATGGCCCATTTGTTTCTTCTGGTGAATCCTCAATAGGAACTTCGAAATTAAGAGGTTTGCTTTAGAGACTCAATGTTGTTTAGGCACATTAGGGGCGTTTTCGGCAGAATCACTGCGGTATAAAATTAAAAGTGTTCCTTCAAATGGTACCGCATGCTAAAATTGTGAGATGAGCGAACCACACAATGTAGTAGGTAATTTCCATCAAATATTGTTGTGTATGTTATTTTATAAATTTGAAGGTTACAAATACCATGATTAATTCAAATGGGTTCCGCTTAAAATCTATAGTTAAGAATCGAAGTCAAGCGAAATCACTCAGTGTATAGCAAATCACAATGTCTTATAATGCGATAAAATCATACATAACGCAGTGATTGGAGACATGACGTACAAATTAAGTAGCATTTTGAGAAAATTGAAGAAATACGGACGCTCAAAGCCATGATTCTTGCTCACCTTTGAGCCAGGAGATCTTGCCCTCTGGTTCCCCATCGACAGCCTCGCATCTCAGTTTCAAAATGTCGCCCTCCTCCAGACTCTCTCTCATCGACTCTACGCGAATGCTGGGACGCTGTGGGGCCTCTAAAAGCCAAACAAATACCAAAGACGCAAAACTTCACAGCACAATTAATGTTATTTTCTGTGACTAAGAAAATACTTTTAAGTAATGGTCATCTGATGCTCAAGATACACTGTAATCTTCCTTAGGATGACTGACCATTTGCAAAACGAGGAGTAGCCTAATCACACAAAAACATGCGCATGGGAAATAGTTTGGTATGACTTTGTGATCATAGCAACCAAAATACATGTATTACAATGATTACCTGGCAAAGATTTCAAACGAAATCTACCGGGTAATATATTTTGGCTATCTGAATGATGTCTGTCAGCTGCCTTTTGATAGCTTAACTTCTCCCAGGTCATGGTATGACGAATGAACGGGCATATGGCCAGCTGGCAGTTAAGGTGAAGTGAGAGGATGTTCCATATCATGATCAAGGTTTCTAAAGTAAATCGCTTTCTTAAAAGGATTTTTTGCTACGAATTTGGAAAATATATATTTATAGTCTAACTTTACCTTTGCAACTGGTATTTATTCCTATAACAACAAAAGGAGTCACGAGGATGATCTAAAGGATCTCTTCTTTCATAGGCCAAAAGAAGAAATCAGTTTTCAGCAATTAAGAGCCCTGCTAATGAACCTTTGCACGTTCACTGACCGAATGCAGCCTCATCATTCTCCACTGCCTCTCTACCTCCCTGCAGTTCCTTTTTTTCCATCCTCTCCTGCCCCTCCCTTTCCCCTCTCCTGCTGCCATCGCAAAAGGCATTCGATAATGAGCGAAGGGATGTGGGGCACATCAGGGTTCAGCATACTCATCCACCCCGCTCACTCATTCACTCGCTTCCTACCTCTTGATGAATATCTGCACGCGATCCCATTCACCCGCTCCTGCTAAATACGTACAACAATGGCATGGCGCAAGAAAAAAACTGGATAGCAATCTGTGTCTAAGCAACTATCCGCCACTTTTTAACAGTCAGGTATCCACCTCGTTCATTCTTAATGTACAAAGTAAAGTAACCTTTTTTCTTAGTTTTGCTTGGTTTATAAATCGAAGAGCCACTTCTTTTGCCCAGATGTTAGCCATTAATGAGCCAAGTTTGTACTCATTTTTTACGTTGCCTGTCGCTCGGCCTCATGTGCATCAACGTGTATTGCCAAAATATTCGAAAGGAGTTATGAGTTGTGAGGCATGCTGCAAAGTATCACCTGAAATTTGGTCAAATGCAGCAATAGCCAAAGCATTCCCTTCTTTAAGTTTTAAAACAAAATAGCCATTCCTTAAATTTGGCTACCGTTTTTACAATTTTTTTACCCAAGGAAGTTACTTACAAAACTGTAGTATTTGCGCATCATCAATTAAAGGAAAAGGCCTGTTTCACCATTTTCAGCCTGTGTATAGAAGTGTGCAGGATTTTGGAAATGTCAAACTGAAAAAGAAACATGATTTGGCTCTTTCAATTCCCTTCAAATATACATTTTTCAACAGCTAGTTGGACCGTTAGGAGTCCGCGAATGACGACAAGCAGGATTTTTTCACCCTGTCGAGGCACAAAGTTCAGAGGCTTTCGTACGCCGAGGCTATCCTTTTTCTGTAAATCAAAGTTCATCACCACCAACAAACAAAATTTTTTGCGCAGAAGATGCACGCGTATTGTAATTCCGGTGCTATAGCCCACGACTTTATTCTCAACAGAATGATTCAGCTTTTTTGTGAACTTGCGAATGGGAGAATAGTGTGGCATATTATCCTACTATGAATTTCAGTGGTTATCAATAAGCTGTTATTTTGCACAACTATACTCCAAATTTGGCATCATTAATCTTCAAATTGATATGTTTGTATGCTTCGAGGGGTAAAAAATCTTAATTTCTAAAAATCTATGCGTAAAGAGTTATTTTATTTACATTTAAGTTTTCTCCAACCAAAAAATCATAAATAATAAAGGAGAGACTTCCTTAATATTTCTAACTTAGATAGAAGTGGCATGTTTAGGTTGAGTAAACTTTTATGTGATTGTTCGGATGATAAGGGAAACAACATTTTAAATTATCTATTAATTATACCAAGCCCTGTCGAATAAATTACGTGTGCAAATAAGAGGACATCAATGACTGTTAATATTTCAGTTGTGTTCCACAGTTTAACGATATTAGCAAGCCCGGCTTATGTTTTTTTACAAAACTTCATGTACTACCACTATCTCCTGAAATTCATACACAATAGATCACCCCCTGTTTACCGTAGAAATTTGCTGTTCCAGTGAACCAAGTAACTTCCTACTATTGTTTTACTTTATTAATAAATCAAAATTAGTAGCAAAATCGAGGTATAAATATTGTAGCCAAAGCACTATTTCCATTAATAATAGAATGAACGAACCATATGGTTTTAGTACGACTTGATCCACGATGTTGGTGTGTGTATTGAAATCCACATCAGCAGAGGAATAGCCCCGGCATTGGAGGGCACCGAGTCTCATAGAGTTTGCAGGTGGTAATCGGAGCGATACCGTCTTGATGTAGCTAGCACCATTGGCGCCCCCGCGTTTCAACTCTGCGATGGAGGTCAAGTTAGTGAGATCGTACCACTCGGCAGCATTAATTGTCAATGCGCCGAACCACTTGATCGTTGCTTGACCATAGAAGGGAGTCGTAGAACACGAAAAGATCTGCTTCCGCTCCGGACGCACATACAGGGTGCGTGGAAATTGCGAGGATGATAGGAGTTGGGCTGAACACTCCTCCTTATTGTCTGAACTCTTAGGTCCGGGTAGTCTGGTGTTACTCATTTCATTCTTGTAAATGCAAACACCAGAGAAGGCATCTAAAAATCCAGGTCAAATCAACAATGATAGGTAGTTCCAGCAAAATCATTGAGAAATGTGAAAAATTGGGTATTTCTTAGCCTATTTTTCCTTAATGTAACCAGCAGTGTTGTTGAATTGAGAGCTAAAGTGGAAAAGTGCCAAATCTAATAAAGGTGGAGTTTTTATTGTTCAGTTTGATGTATATGAGGTGTAATCAAAGTGCAGTACCCTATAGCAATAAAATATGAGCCCATTTAGAGCAAAGTTATGCATTTAAGCCATTAATACGGGCCACAGAAATCAAAATTGGACATTAACATTAAGGTGATTTTCGTGATTTTTTATAGAGGATTGCTCTCACTCCACGAGTATGCAGAAAAGGATACAAAAACCCTAAACATCAGTTTATTTATCACTTCATTAGCAGTACCTTTAAGCAAATATTTAGTAAATTCAACATTTCTCTAAGTGTTTTGTTTTAAGCGATGTTAAACTTTGCAGTTGTTAACACAATGATGGGAGGAAATAATTATTAGAAAAAAATTAGAAAAATGAAATAAGGAGCAACAAGTCCGAGTTGTTTTAAGGAAAACACTTCGCCTCAAAACTTTCCTCGCATTTCACCTAGATCAACTTATGCTGTTCCTTTGGTTTGACAGAAATGAAATCGCCATCTTTATTATCCTCTAAGTAATAAAAGATCTGTAGGTTTCTCAGTCACGTCAAAATAGGTCTGCATTTCCGCTGTCATGTTAATCGTGTTTTGCAATCAAACTTCCTGTTAGGAGAAAAAGGAGAAATGGGAAAGAAGCCCGCCTATTATGCCACTTTTTGAGAAAATGAAATTCGACAGGAAGCCTTCTTTACTCTTAAATACTTAAAAGTCCCGTGCCGTGGATACTGGCTGCCGTTATATTGAAATTTTGACCGTGTGATCAGGTAGCCTGGGAAGAAATTAAATTCACAGGTTTATGAGTCGTACCAAATTAATTGCCATGTTTTCTAATTCAAACTCTTTCTATCAATTTCAGAAAAATAGGACCGAATGTTATCGTTTGTCCAAGTACTTCAACAAAAGACCAAACTTCTGGCTGCAGTCGTAATTAGTAAACAAGATTATTCATTGCGTAATGTGATACGAACAAAGGAATCCTAAAAATTTGCAGCTGAGTCTGCGCACTTATTCATTAGCACCTTAATGCGGGCCACTGTGGTGCTCCGGTGTGCTTGTAATACGCGATAAATCAATTCATTGGAGTAATCCAATCATGGTATTGAACTGACTGTCATGATAATTGGCTACAATGGATGAGAATGGATAAGCAATGAGAAAGTGAAATCCTCATAGCTATTTTCGCCTGTACGTATGTTGTGAGGTGTGATTAAAGCAATAGTTAGAGGGACCAGGGGTCCCGAAATCACGCATAAAAACGGCAATATCCTTGGCTAAATAAGCCGAAGAACTGGCCAACGAATTAATCCAAGGGACATCTAGTTGTATTGCCTGCTCTTTTAATTACCATGACCATGTCTTAGCTCGCGTCCCAGTGGGTTTATGGTGTACGGTCTACTTATTTCCCCCAGCTGAAGAGTTACAGTGACAACAGTTGTCACCCATAAACCATTCATCTGGTTGCTATCGAATCGCATCACAGTGCGGCAGACGACACGAAAGCGCCAGGTTCGCTGCTGCAGACTGAATGCTGTCAGAGGTCAGGCCCCACGGTATGGGTTTAAGGTTAGGGAATTAACCCCACCGACCGAGAGGAGGAGGAGGAGGGAAAGTAGTAAATTCTACTCTTCGTACATCGTTCCCGTTAGTCTTACGAGGAGTTGCATAAGACTAACCACCAACGCAGGTCATTTATACAACTACAATGTGATTCTCCTCATTTCAAACTGTTTCCATTATTTATTCAGTCAATCAATGTCTTGTTAGGGACATCTTCCAGAGGAAAGTCATTTCTTAAGATGTGTGCTCACAAAATCAGTTATGAAAAAAATTTCGAACAGCTGAAAGTCAGATTAATGTAGTGAAAATTCTGGTGGTTGTAGGAATCATAAACCATTGTGTGTGGAGTCACTCTCGCAAACATCGCCACCCTTCACGATCTCGCGCAGTATTAACGTTGTATCCCCCTCGAGAGTTGGACGCGTGCCGGCTAGAATTTAAATTCCCAGCCTGTGTGGCATTTCGGCTAAGGTCAGAGATAAAAGCCTGCCAGTATTCCGACTTTCAGACCAGTGTCCTCTCGCTCACACGTACATCCATAGTAAGGTCAGAAATCATTTCTCTCTACCTGTCAGTAGTGGAAGCCCATCATCGCCCAGCAAAGTTACGAGACGATGTTTATGTCAATCTTCGCCCCATTTATCATTTATTTGGCTAAGTGTGGGTTTATCCAGAGTGGTAAATTTTACTCAAGGCATCTAATATCCTCCTGTTTGATTATTGACAAAATAATTTGCAGTTAGATCAAAAATACGATTTGGTATATTCTTCGTTTTAATCTGTTCGAAGACGTAAATAGGTTTTTCTGGGATGTTGTGGATAGGCACCTACCGGTTATACTTGGTGGCAAATCAAGAAGTGCATGCAACTGCAAAATCCAGTTATAATGTTTTGTGATCGATTGAGATGAAATTAGCATCAGTGATCAAATAAATGGGACGCGAATACGTGACATGAACTCCGGGAAGTGGATCTGATTTCTGACGATGCAAGTGTAATACCTCCCCGCCTTTTGCCGACCTCAACAGAAATATACAGGCCAACTGTTCGAACACATTAGTGAAGTGTTAAAGAAGACTTGACGTTTGTTCTTCTGTCAAAATGCGTTGTAGAACTTCCACGTCTGCACAACTCTCAGTGGTGGCGTCGTCATATCAGGAACCGTTAAAGCATTCTGACACAAATTCAGCGATCATGTCAGCAGTGACGTTATTTTTCAAAATAAAGCTGCTGTCAGCCAAAGATTGGATGATGATCAGCTGTAAGACCATGAATGAGAGGTTGCAAACCGCAATGCCCCCTTATGTTAGTGGTCCATGACCTTTCTATTTAGCGTTTATTTTCGTTGCAAATACATAAATTAACTGTCAAGCTTTACATGTATGTGAGACATACGCAACATTGAGAGAAGGCCAATGGGAGTAGAGGCAGAATTGAAGCGAAGCTAGCATTCACAAGGAAGCTCACACAGGCTTCTGGCGCGTCAGCACAGGCATGTGCTTGTCCGTGCATGTCATAGCGGCGCGACTCCGTCGCGGTGACGGGAGACACCGTGACTAATTTCATCGATTTTTGGCCACAGCGGCATCACGATAGGATATGGGCAGGTGACTAAGCTGCGTCTACCCAGCGTGTGAGACGTGAAGTGGACTAAAAACCGGCATTTTCGTCGGCCACCTCAGCAATGATTGCCTGATAGTGAAGCCCACAAGGTTGCACTCAACTAGTACACTGACAGTGGTTAAATTTAGCGGTTGCATAAGTCAAGATCACTTCTAGAATACTTGCAATAATAATCTTTAGTTCGCCTTGAACAAGACCCGTTGTGCCGAAGCAAAAGCTCTACTTTTTATTAGTCAGAATTGGGTTGACTTTGTTAAAAGTAGAAAAGGAAGAAGGCTGACGATGTGCTTTTTCAACTTACACTTAACGTTGAGCAGGATTTTTGCTTTTTGCTCCATTCCCAGCTTGTGCCGCGTAACGCATACTATGGAAAGGCCATTTTGGGCTCGCTTTACATCTGGCAGGGAGAGATGGCTTTCCAGTTGATTTCCATCGGAGGTGTGTCGTGAAAATTGCTGGAGACTGGGCAATTTGTTCAGCTCAGTGACTGTTGACGAAAGAGATGAGGATGCAGAGGAATCCGTTTGGAATGGGCTTGGTGACTGATCCCAACGCCAAATCAATTCACCCGGAGGTGACCCTGGTGGTTTTGATTGACACATGAGATTCACTGTGTCACCTTCGTTAGCAATTATGGAGTCAACAATGCTTTCCTCCGAAGAGAGAATGACAGGAGCCCCTGGCGGCGCTAAAACATACAGTTTTCCATTTACAATGGAATTGTATCTTTGGTATGGAGTTTGAGAAAAATCTGATGCCTGTAGTAATTTGGGCCACAACAATATGCTTTTGATTTATCCTGCAGCTGATTAATGATCAGGTAGAAAAGTATCATTTGGAACACAAATATCTCAAAATATTCCATTAATCTCACAAGGCGATTTTCTCCTCCTGGACACCTTATTAGCTGCAGTGAACGTATGCGCTCAGTAGTCCGATTTCTTTAAAGCTGTAAAATATATTATACTGTCGGAAAAGGTTAAATCGTGAAATCGGCATTGATATCGTGGTAACTGAGGCATCGATAAATCTCCATTCCTAAATTCAACATAAAATCTGCGAACTCAATAATATATTTCAATAGCTGAATGCGACTCGACCCACTAAATGATTACCGCAATTTCAATAAAGGAGCAGAGTCGGCGGGATCAGAGATAACGAGAGTGAATCCGCGTTTTTTCAGCCCTTAAGATTAACGACCAAAATTAGGGGATGTACAATCGTCTTCTTTGGACGTGAGATGTGCAGGATGTTAATGATAGAAAAAAGCTGGCAGCATTTTTATAACGCCTGAATGATACGGTCCTACATAAGAAACGCACTTGCTTCGTGTAAGGAACGATGAAAGAATTGAGAAATTTCAAGTAACAAAGATGCCTAATTTTATTAAGCAAAAATTTCTTTTAAGCAGGAAATTGAACATCACACTCAAGTTTAAATTAGCCATCGCCTGAGGCCTCAAAGCAAGCGAAAAACAGTCTCACCACATTTCGCTACCATATTTCAGGGTTCAGGCGTAGTAGAAGTAAGTTGCATATGACGCTATTTATACTACTTTGAAGATTAATCACGATCAATATTGGATTGGTTGATCTGTGCCCTAAGTAAACCGACTTAAGACATTTATAAGATTTCATTATGATCAAATGGCTGATTACGCTAACAGAATCGGTGTGACTTGAATAAGGTGGACGGATTCAAAACGAGATCGTTACCGCACGTCCACGTTGTATACAGATAATCTCTGAAGGAAAGTGCGTAGATAAAACGGAGAAAGAAATAAAGGCAGCAGCTTTTTACCATTGAGGGAGCTGGCAAAGTCATTCTTCACATATGTTAACTTTGCCGAACTGGCACTTCAGATGCGATTGTTTGGGAAGTCATGCCAATGGCACACCGAAAGCGTTTTAAAAGAAAGTGAAAATAAAAAATTTATCAAAATTTGTCATCGCTATCCTTTTCATAGTTTTTTGGGGTTTATTTTTATGAAGTGTACGTACTTCCCAAAAATGTATATGTCAACACTAGATTGACTGTGTGATGCTGAAGGAGGTTTGTTTATGACAGCATTATGATCAATAGTGCTGTAGACAAACCCGATGTTCCATGAAAAGGGATTCAGATAATAATAAAATTATTATCGCACATGTCTAAACCTCGTCCATTTCTACAATTCGAAAATCGAATAGAATTTTAGTAAATAATACATTTTGGAGATTTGATACTCAAAGCTAAAATCGCTTAGTTTTCTGTAGTGCAGATGCGTCAAAATTCAGTTAACATTCATCTTCACTGCGGTGATTAATGTTGTGTAGATGAAGGGCAAAACAGAGGCCTGTAAATTCTCAAATAATAAAACATTTTCTCAAGTTTGAATATCCACTTAGTAAATATTCTTCTCTGCATATCTTTGGTAGATTTATAAATTAGAATATCTTATTGCAATGACAATGACTCAGTCAAGTTAAAGGAAAACACGTTTTCGATGTGCTTCTTCGACATAGCAAGGTGAATAAGGAGGTCGACATTTTAGTTATTTGCACACGAAACTGGTGGCGTACTTTATTACCTTTTTCTTTTTATGCAATGAGAACAAATTACAAAGAGTTAAGTTTAACGGAAAAAACAGTGAACTTTTAAAGGCTCTGACGATCCTCTGCTTGATAATAAGGCCTATTTGAAAGTTCAACTGCTAAAAATCGTAAGTTTAAAGCAAGAAACATCAACTATCACCAGTTTTTCAGCCTTGTTGACGTACAGTTTCAAATGCCTCCCTTGTTGAACTTTTTTGGTAGTGTTTTTGATTCAAAAATGAGTTAACTACCCAAATTTACCACTGGTAATTTTGTCGATTACTACTGCAATTTTAACAGCATTATCAACAAATTCACAATTAGTACTAGCATTAACGAATGTTATAGGTACAGCTCGTGTCAACAAAGCAAAAATTGACGAAGATTAACTGACGAAGGAAACTTCACATACCCTTTCCTTTCTCCACACCCGTTTTTGATGCCGTTTATTGTCATCCATATCTAGATTCGCGGAAACACTTACTGGATGGGTTTTAACTTGAACGATGTAGGAGTGGGACGGGCCTGGGTTAAAGAGGAGTATGAGCCCAATGGTCGCTTTTTTGGGGATAATCCGATCGACTAAATAGTTGGTTGCGGTAGAAGTTACTTCTAATTTAAAGGTGGGAGTTTGTTTCCACTAGATGAAAAAGCACTCAATTTCGTAATTTATTCAGTGTGCAATTATCCAATAGCCTAATTCGCATTCCTCCTGTTAGTCATACCAAGTGTGCATAAAAGGCAACCTAAAGCACTCATAAAGGAACTGAGAAAGTGGTGGGCGCGTAAATATTTTACCTCGTTCCTATTAGTTACAATTCCTCATTAATTTTACACAATAGGTTTACGGTATCCATCACTAGTAAACATTCTTTTCAATCCCGAGTGTCATCTACCTTTGAATTAAAACAGTTGCTCAACTTATTTTTTTAAACTATGTCGCAAAGGTTAACTAAAATCGGAAACAATAAAGAAATACAAGCTTAGAATGATGATTTAAAACTATTAAAAAGCTACGAAGTTCAGATTTATTTAAAATCTTATTGTAATCTTGTAGCTAACTTTTTTCAGATATAATATATATAATCTACCAAGAGGAGTGTTGCAAATGTTTGTTAAATGGTTTTGCTTTCCGTACTGGTGACAGTGTGCTCAAAAGCAGTCCTATCATCCACTAAGAATATTTTTACGAGTTAAATTATTTCGGCTTGGAAGTATTGTAAAAAGGTGCCGTTTAATTACTGTGTCGCAACAATCAAAGGATCAAAGAAATCAAAATAATGCAAAGTTATTATTTAAAACGAATTTTAATAACAGAGCATCTACCCACCGCCGTTTCGTTGGGGCCACCTAAATTTTAGCCAAATGACCCGTTTCAATGACTTTCTAGTAATTCTTTTACTCACAATAGAGTAGCCAGAAATGCATAAACGACCATGTTATTTTAACTAAAATATCAATAATAAAATCTGCCATTCAGTAATTAAAAGGTCCCTTCATTTCTATCATCATTTGACAGCATTCACAAGATTAAGACACAGTGGTCCTTTAAGTTCGGTGCTATCCTTTAAACTTTGAGAAACCGAAGACACTAGGGTTTAAAAAAGTTAGTAGGAGTGGTGGCTAATCTGGAAGACAGTGTACTAAGGAAAAGCAAGAAAAAGTGTAGATCATTGTTGGCGTTTGAAAAAGCGGACAATAGGCTGTGCCAATGCATTTAAAAATGATGCTTTGCCTCAAGGGCATTAGGGAGAAACGACTTTCGAGACCAAACATTGAAAATTATTCTCACATAATTTAAAAGATCAATTTTAACCTCCGGAGGAGTAAAAACTAATTTCAAAGCAGGTAATTAAGATAAGTGGGGGAACAATTAATGCGGAGACGTGTTACAATATGTAAGCCGAGATAATAATCCTAAATCCCAAAATCGAGCTCCACTATTTATTAGCTGCGTTCAGGTCCACGAATCAGCTCACTACGTTTGCACTCATCAGAACTGCTCGGTTTTACGCATATACTACTATTGTTCCTTTTATTTTCCCCCCAATTAAAGATCGTGGCTTAAAAACAAATGCTATTAAAAGCCATTATTAAATGCAATTATGGTACATTCGTGTTGCATGTGACTACAGGTAGAGCATATTCAAAGTTGGCATTATGCACTTTAAAAAGCATTAAAGCACATACCATTGACATTGTGGAACTGATAGCCAATTGATTTATGTTCTAAAGGTTTTTATAGATATTTTGCCTTAAAATTGTCAATCAAGTAAGAAATTGTGAAAGACTACTCACTCTGCACCGTGACAATGATCTCGGCGAGCAGTTTTTGTTGCCCTAAGTTTCCAGCACGTTGAGTAGCCTTGTTGGTGACCAGACAAGTAAGTCGATCGCCGGTGATTAGGTTGGCCTTGGGGATGACCAACACGGCCTCTCCTTCAGCTCCTCCATCCGCCACGGGAGTAGAAAAGACGTCGTTACCACCGCCACCAACATAGCTGGTGCGCATTGGCAGCCCGTTGTGGAACCACTCGAAATCGGGCGCCGGCACACCCCCCTTAGCCTGACAAATCAACCGCAGCTTGTCGTCGGCACTGGAGAGATCGTTAATGTTGTCCTCTACAGAAAATCCCGGCCGCGATATCACCAGCTGACCGTTCTTCGTCGGCTGCGGCTCACCCGGAGGCGCCATTATGATGGGCCTTGAGGGCACCACTGAAAAGCGACATTACACACAAAACATTCATCCGTCGGTGCACTTTCAACTCAATCACGACTTTACTAGAAGCCGTCTGTGAGTGCTCAGATGACCTCATGTTGTTTGGATGCAAATACAGAAGACTGTTACTATAATTACGGAAGCAGTCGACCATGATTGCGGGGCATCATCAGCACCAACTCTATGACGGCTGGCGATCTCATTTATGTATGCTGTGTTCGGGATAGCGTACGATGCCGGTTCCCGGTGTGACGTACTTGTTTTCAAAAATCAAAATGAACTTATAGACACGATTTTACGCCTGTGGCTGCACCATATGAGAGTTTAATTCGCTTAAATCGGAAAATAAGCTACCTGCTAAATTTAGCATCCTCTTCTAAAGTGTTTGACCCTAACAATGTTTCAGAGAAAATTTAAGAATGAGAAGTAAAAGTAGATTTGTGAAACTATATTTGTTAGTAGTTTATTTTGTGTTAATCATGCTTAGTGAAGGTCCAATTATGATCCATGAGATCAGGCTTTTTGCCCTCTCTTTCGTGTAATACAAAAATTCTAGATTTATACGCGGAATCTAGCAAGAGTCATGAGGAAATAAACATCAGTTGCGTTGTTCATCCTGTTTGAACTTTGAACATTGTTTAGACCCGGTGAAAGAATAAAAGTAGTCAAAAATGATTTGTGGCTTAAATTAGTTGACCTGGATACACTAAGGTTTTAGGGCAAATTTCTATATGCCAGTCAGTGCAGTGCACCATAAACCAGATTTTGTATACAAGCATGCCATAATTTTGGAGTAGTCATCCAAAATAATAATCCAGCTAACGCATTTCCATCCATAATCCAACTCCCGTGAACGTGACCAAGTTTTTTATTTGATGCTTTATTTGCTGTTGGGTGCATATCCATCCTCCCGGTTGAATATGACACTGACTTTTTCATGTGAAGCAGTATTTGATAATAAAAATACTAGCTATGGGTCTAAGTTACAAAACCCACGAATGTTGCCTACAGGTGGAACGCTTAACGGTATGCTTTCGATTTGAATTTCAATTTCAATTTTTTGAATTGAATTTCAAACCATATTTTTTGATAATAAAGCAACATAAAACGAGTAGAGCTGTGAAAATGGGATTTGACTAAACAATGATCGAAAGTTTGGGTCATGAAATCGTCTTAAGTGTGCTTAAATTACAAAATATAAATAATTAAAATAAGTGTTCTATATATCTTATTGGAATTAAGTAGTAAAATACATACCAAGTACAGAAAGGTTAGTGCTCCTGCGTAGTAAAGGCTGATTTGCTGTTGGTGAGACTTGGCATTCAAAATTTCCGGCGTCTTCTCGAGAAACACTTGATATGACCAAATCGTGTTCACCTTTGTCAGCGTTGCCTTGCATGGAATACTTGGGCCAATTTCTCAGTTCTCTATCATAACCTGAAGTACAAAAGCAATTTGTCGTCTCTTCTGTTGAGGTAAACCAGAAACCGTGTACCATAGAAGAGGGTAATAAATATGCACTTACCTCAATTTCTTAAGGTCACACACCAAACCCAAACTCTTGCTAATAGAGTGGAAATTGCACTATAAACGCTTTTTTAAGAGGGCAACTGTGACGTAGATGAGTATCGGGTAAGAAGTTATGAGTTTAAACATTATGTCTTCACCGTTTGAACTCGAATTTATAACAGGCTGAGGAGCTCTGTAAAAGGCTGAGTAACGGTGCACCTCGTCTCTATTAGAGATGGAGGGAAGTGATAACTTGCTAGAGCATTTAGCTTCTCTCAAACATGAATGTAAATCGCACTTCCTTATCAGAGAGGACTATCTCTTCAATAATCGACACATCATCCTTCTTCATTCTAGTTCTGATCTATGTACCAGCGTAATTTCTAAGCTCAAACCTCACATAACAAATGAGTCTAAACTGGTCGTGATTTTGCAGCATAGCTTACTAAACCCTTACTAAATAGAGAAATATTTCTATCAGACAACATTTCACAAAACGTGGGGCACATTAATAAAGCTATCATTAACAGAATATTCCTTATTCATTCATGCAGATTGATTAACAGCCCCAAGTATCAAAAATAGTCCTAATTCAGACTGCAATTCTTTTGTGAAATAAACATTGAGCCACTTAATTATACTGGATACCGTTGCTATCTTAAAAAATATAAGAGTACAATATTTAGGCCTTTAATATAAATGTTCTAATAAGCTTTTGTGCTTATAGTTTCCTATTTCTACTACTTCTAGTACAAAATTAATCCTTTGTATATTACCGCATTTTAATTGATTGCGAATAGACCTTCTATCTACCGGCTCCACCAATTTATTTAAAAAACGTCTTCCAAGAAAAAGGCCTTATGTTAATTAATTACATGGCCAACACTCTGGAAGGATCTTCTCATAGTGCCGATTCATCTGATCGTGATTATTGTTCATATGAAAAGACCAATCCTAAAATATTGTTCAGTTTTTTATAAATAAGCCTTATTTTTATTTCGTCCGCATCAAATTTTCACAAACTCAAAATATGTGATCTCTTGGCGAAAATGCCGTCAAGTGAATTAGACGCAGGCAGTAGGAAATTCTTACATTTTTCACCAGTGGCACACAATTATCCCGAGGGACTCTGTTTGTGTATCGGTAAATATTCTTTTTTTCCAGTTCCAGTCTTCTACTTTTTGTTATTTGTGCAACAAGAAGGTCATCTGGGAGAACTACACTATCTCACTTTTTCCAGGGTTTTAGGATGGCTTAACAACATTTTGTACATTTTGGTGGGTTAGTATTCAACAGATAATCCAAACAATAAAATATTTAAAACTTTTGTGCAGGTTGAAGACTCTCTAATTTACACACTAATCTAGACAATACAACAGATTATAGTTATGAAGCAAATTAAGGCGATGCGTTTGTGGTACCTGACCATTGCAATTCATTGTAATGGTTTAGCAATCCTTGGTACATCGTGCTCTTTAAAGTTCTTTCCAAACCAAAATATATCAGTCGCTTTTCACTTTTTTTATGTTTATGAATACCTATATGTGTAACACATCGCATCAATCCATTTTAATGCTGTTCAATGTTTAAAAAGTCGTCAAATTCATTAATTTAACTAGAAAGAAGTAAACAGTTGGGGTAACTAGATGTTTGCTCTGACAGTGTGGTAATTGTTTGCATTTTTTTCTATATGAACTTCCAATCGGGATAGTTGTGGGAGTCCACCTTTTAGGGAGAATTTGTGTCACATTTGTGAGTGCGTACAGTAGGAGTTTGTCAAACTCATAGTTCGGTTCCCGCGAAACGACTCGGAATTCTTGAGTTCTAGTTCCAATTCATTAACGCAAATGAAGTGATAGCCCGACGTGAGGGAACTTCGGTTGTCAGGAGAGCTCAAGTCTCTTTGTCGAGTTTTTTACTCGCATTGTAAAATGTCAGCAATAACCTAATTTTCAACAATAAAGATAAAATTTGTGACTTCCATTTACCCTAACGTCTTCAAATATTTGGGAAATTTGGAATTTAAACTGTACAGCCATATTTAAAGGCACAATGTTTACTTATTTGTAGTAAGAATTTGTTTTCAGAAGTAAATTCGCGCATCTAATAGTTGAAGGATGATCATGCAAATTTAAGTACTCAGTCAAATCTTATTTTTCTTTTTCGTTGATTCGCCATGCAATATTAGGTGCCAAGAAGCATAGTCACCCTAATGCCACCTATGCGGCAAAGTCGGATTTGCGCCATTCAGACATTTTACAAAAGGTACCAATAAAATCGTTAAAAAGTATTCATTTTTCTCCTGATATTGCGGTGTGTCTTTCATGCACTTAATTAGCCCTACCATTCTCCCATGTTACTCATTTAAAGTGATAAAGTTGCCATCCCAATAAACAAATGAGCTTGTCTACAATCGGTACGCCTTAGTTTACAGAGCGTTAATAACAAAGTCACTTTTTGAAGATAGGCCACGAGGGAGGTTCTTGTTCGCTTACGAAAGATCTAAATTTGTTGTCTGAATTTCCTTAGAGGTAATTAATAAGAAATTCTGCAATGAGCATACACTACCGCTGTGGCCAGTACACCAAGCGTGAAGTTATCTTTTTTTCTGTTAGCCATATTCAGTATAAGTACTGTCAACAAAAATTATTTTTTACGGATCATGCACATTTATTTTACAACAGCTTGTAACGTCTTTTAAAAAACTAATAATAGAAATTTGAATAACATTAACTGTCATCGCAGCACAACCTTCTTAAAACTCGCTTTCTAAGCATCAGTCACCATAAAGTGATACGCCCACGCCAACCACTCACGTCAAAATTCTAGCTTACCTACATTCCATTAATAAATGCTCCAGGAGCGATTAAAACCGAGTGTCGTCAGATTTGCACATATGCTCATCCAATTTCGGTAAATTAAATGGAAGTTCAATATTACTAACTTTACAATAAGTATACTTGGAAAAATGAGAGCACATTAAAACCTCAGATTACTGCTTGCTCTGGAACTCAAGAGTCAGTCACAAAATATACCTGATTTAAAAAAGTGACACTTTAAGAAGGAGTTATTCAAATCGGGAAAATCGAGCATTGATAAAAATAATAATTTGAAACATATGTAGAGCCGAAAGAATAAGACTAAAGGAATTTCGCTTAAGTACTGCAATTATTCTCGCTGTAATGCCGCGATCATAATGTTTATTACTGGTCTGCAAACATACACGAAGTTCAAAATAGCAAATTCCTTATGGTGTTAGCTGATTTCTCCTTAAAAGGAAAAACATGTATTACTGAGTGTGTCATAATTGAGAAGCGTGCAAAACTGAGAATTGGAGGCAAATTACCTTATACGAGTCAGCCAAAAGACAACTATTTTAAGTGATGCATTTTCTCAGTCTTAATTAAAACTATGGTTGTTAATAGACTCTACATTCACCCGACTTGATAGCTCCTTTTGCATTATATTTTAATGCAGAAAATATCTGCAGTCTGTGGGATAAGATCTGGCGGTGAGCAAATTCAACTTTAAACTTTTTAGATGCTTGCCAAAGCTTATGTCTATCGCTTGTTTTAATGGAGAGGATACTGGTTAGGTTCATCCTTATCATCAGTTATGTCAAAATGGTGGAAAACCCTTCTTTTCTTTGTATATTTCTAGCCGTTTCCCTCTTGTTTTTCTCTGTGGGTCATAGTTTTATTCTCATAACAAAGTAAAAGAATGGAACATTTTCCCTAAGTAAACACCTTATCGTGTTCCGTCTACCAGAAATTAGTTCTGATCATAAATAAAATCGTTTACAATTTCCAGTGTAAATATTCACGCGAAGGTTCTGAAAGTTTAAAAAAGTTAATTTGAATCTTAATCTGATTTAAAATGCACTCTCATAGGGATCACAGGACCTTACTGCATTAGGTAAAAGCTGATGAAGCAAGCGTGTGTGATACATACCGAGAAGCGTGTTGTGAGCTCGCCACTGTGCCTTTCCACTCTGCCAGGATACCCGACACCGCATGCGCACGGGTGAGCCCTCCAGCACCTCATATTGATCTGCGGGTAGTTCGGAGAAGCACTGGCGTTGAAGCCGCTCATCAACGGGGGAACAGACAGAGGATTGAAAGGACTCGAATGCTGTTACCACCTCCCCCGAGTCCGGTGCAAATATTAAACTCCGTAGACTCTCTACATCATCGACGTTAGAGCCGGAGACCCCAGTAGAATTGCAGAAAGCGAAAATAAGTAGTAGAAAAAGTGAGAAAAATGTCAATTCTAACATGCGCATATTGCAAAGAGGTTAGGTGAGAAGCAGAGAATATAAAAGAGAATCCACTAAGAGCAGCTACTGTAGTTTTGTAAAGGGGTATTTCTCAGGATTCCCACATCACGACGACCCTGCATTACAGTTTGTCGCATTGAACGCTAACTAATTAGGAGTTGAGAGTGAAATCCGCTGGGGTGGGGATGAGTTGGGACGGGACAGGACGGGACGAGTGGAGTACGAATGCGTTCGTGTATGCGCCACCGCAGGCAAACGCAACTGTCACGCGTGTAGCAGATTGGCGAGGGCGTGAGCAAAAGTCGTGCGTATGTTTGCCCTGGCCGAACGAATGAGGTCATCAAAAGATAGGTCGGTTTATTACTTCTCAAGACAGAACAAACGCCATCATGCTGCCTACCTGCCTAAAATGCCCCTCTCCACCCCTCCTAATGATGTTGTGACATCTTGGATGACCGGGAGTAAACATGGCTAATGAGTTAAAACCATAACACCATTCAGTCGCAAATTACGTATTTGTAATTCAAATATGCTCTCATATTAGCAGAAATCCTGCTTAGATAACTTTTGTGTTAGATGCAAATGCGAAAGTTGTTCGTGTAGGCGCATGGTATACAGTTTTCTAAACGCTTGTGATTAAACATGCTTTTGGGGAAACCGATGATATCGTCACTTTTTCTAAGCTTTTAAGGTGCCCTAGCAACCAGTATCTGGGAGGCACTTAAGCTAGTAATTGGATTCATACATCACCATTTTTGGAAAAAGAAACTGGAAAAATTATGCCTATAAATATAGTATCACACAACTTGAGTACGAATATGGAGGCTTTACTGGTGATTTGCACATTTATTACTAACTTTCACTTGTCAGAGACAAAATAAATCACTGAAAGTGAATTATGACATCTAGTATATCAAATTAAATCAACCTACTTCTTCGAGTTCCTATCGGAACCACCTCTTTAACGATTCTTTGCTCGACAAAGAATTATGCTCCTATCATTTTACGGAACTGGCTGCGTTGCTCAAATATATGATGGCATTAATTTGACCATATAACGGTAATAATAGTTATTATGCAGAAATGTATATTCTTTCAAAGTCACTGTGTTATACTGGGAGTATTGAAGAACACATGCTCAGAAAGGAAATTTCTTATCCATTGTAGCGGTGGAAGAAGCTCAAAATTTTGATTCCTAGGCATTGAGGAATGCATGCATTTTAAAACATGCTTGCGCCATTTTATCGTTCCAGAAAATCTTTGTTTTATCGAGAAGGAGCCGCTATATATTTCAACTCGATAACTAACACTTGGTTGGTTTAAAGCTATGTTTTTTGAGTTCGGATTCGTTTCATTTCTCAAAATTATACTTCGGAGGTGAGACGGGGACTTTTTAACAATCCATGCTAATAAGTACAGATTATATTTGGTCACCTATTTAAACAGTAAGCAGAGCCTGTATAATTTTGGCCCAAAAGTAGATACAAATAAAATAAAAATGATGTAATTGCTATTAGTGTACCATGGGATGACCAAATAATCTATTTATATTTCACCATCGCGCACCATCTGAAAACCACCTGTCTTGGAAATCAGGCCCGGCCATAGTTGTGGAAGCAAAAGCGGTAACAGTAGTGTTGCGCGACCCAACACTAGCAACTGAACAGCTGTTTAGGAAAACCGGAGAAAACTGCGAAACATGGACAGACTGACATTATCGCTGCCAACGATTCATGAGTGCCCCGCGCAATCGCGGACATTTTTCAAAGAATCCGATGAAGACCTCTCCCAGCAGTTGTTAGTGCCCGTTGCCCACCTTGCATCTACCGAACCGGCTTTTTGCCCCTAAATCGGCGACTAAAACAATAAGCCGGCTTGACAGTGCAGTCCAAGTTAATCTTTCTCCCCCGTATGGTAGCAGCACAGCCCCTTTGTTTTATTTATCTTAAGTGTAGCCTATTTTTTGTAAAATCAAGTGCCAATTTTACTATTTATTGCCATGGTGTTTAATTCGTCTTATATTGCAAAAACTTTTAACTCTACAGAACCTAGCACGTTTACAAAACCACCCTATCAATACTTAAAGACAGCAGTATTAACTTTAATTTTGATTATCTTATGGTAAAATGTAAATCAATTACTTCCGTTTGTAGGAAAATGATGAACTTGTGCTTTATTTTAGGGATGGCAAGATTTAATTAATGTTCAGATATCAGACGGAATGATTTATCTCCTTCATGTTCAGCAGTACCCTTTAGTTGTCGGCCGAAAATGCAGATTTTGCATAGTTTAATTTACACTTTCACCTCACTGACACCGCAAATACACTGAAAATGTCACGTTAACATGACCTCCCCACTATCGATTATTTCTCATCTATTTAAATAATGCGTTAAAAATCAATAAATTAAATTGAGCTGACATTTGCGTAGAGTCAAATTTGACCTGCCGTGGCTGGTGCTATGTGCTGCATCAAGTGGATGCTGATAAGCGGTCCGTGGCGTCTGACTGTGTGGGCAGACGAATTCACCACGGTCTTCGTGGAACCTTTCCACCCAAAGCTGGCAGAATGCACAATCCGCTGCATTCTTCCCTTCTTCCCCAAGCCCCGTCCGACTTGCGAGTTTTTCACCTACTTTTTCCTTATGTGGCCTCTTGAGTATTACCGCAAATTTACAGGTCGTGACAGACTGGCAGCGGTAAAACTCTTCAAGAATGCTGTCTGCTTCATCTGCGAGGTAACTGACATGTTTGATCCTGCCGACGCGGAGACACTCTTCAATGTGCCCGAATGGAAGTACTACATGATAAAGGGCACTTGGCCTTGGGAAGAGGACGAGGAGGAATCTGATGATGACGAGGATTAAGAGCGGTAGTTTTAAATCACATTTAGAATTCATTTTTTTTATCTATACTTCACTGTTCAGATGATTTCCCATTTTGGAGAGAGGGTTGTTGGCACTCGTACCTTAGCCATAAGTACTGATGTGTAGGGAAATCATTTATTTACAAAACTCAAAAAATATATATATATAAACAGAAGTGCAATGGTTTTATGATCCGAGACTGGTGAAACCTGCCTCGCCATCATTACCGCATCTACATGGACAAACATTATTTTATTTAATAGATTTGCTTAGTCTTTGGAAGTAAAATAATTTTTTTGTCATCGAATTATGAGTGCACGATTGCTCCTTACGAACGACTAGCTGTTGCACATTCATCCTTAAGTAGTTCAGACAAGTGAGGATTCAAAAAAAGAAGTACACCTATTGACGTGCACGAAAAAAGTGCTCTAAACATCATCAGAAGGGGCACCATGACGACTCAAGAATTAAAATTGCTGCTGAAAATTTATTCAATGCCACTGTGCTTCAGTGCTCTCTTAGACAAGACAGGTTCTTACGCAAAGCAGAGGAAACTCAGCAATGCAACGTCACTAACATTATTTAAAACAAAGACCGAAGCATGCCTTGTCATCAAAAATCAGGGTCTTATGCGTAGGTACACTGATCACACCCGTAATAAATTCTGATTTCATACTAAAAATCCAATTGAAAATAGATATTTAACGAGGTTTTAGGATATAATGGACGTAGCATTCTGAATTGGAATTTTTAAATGCACTTCTATTGTTTCTACTATGCAAGTGAATTCCCAAAATGTCCTTGAGAAGAAAGCATTCCGTAACTCAAATCGACTCATAGTGACGATCAAAATAGACAAAGACAGTTCTCAGGACTGGAGAAAAGTACATTTTGTAAATTTCACCGACTTATCACTACAAGCAAGACTCTATGTTCTTAAAGCAACAAATGAGTTTGAAGGACAGATTCAAGAAAGTTGTAAGTAAAAGGCATTTAAGAGGTTTTTCAATCAACTGGCAATCGTTCTAATTGAAAATCAAGTTAGACTGTTTTGGGATGATGGATGAAACCTCTTTCGCGTTGCAAAGTTGCGCTACTTATCTCCTCCTAATTAAAAGAAATAAAAAGTGGCGTAATAAAGCTCTGGCTTGTAAAGAAGGTGCCTTTGGTTTAAGGAAGGGCAAAGGTGACAACAAGCTGTTGATTGGCCGTTAATTGCATTCTGGATTGTACAAAATGACGCCAGAGGAGATCGGGTAGGATTTTGTGATGGAATATCACTTGATGAAACAATGTTAAAGGAAGTGTTTCGCAAAGTTAAAAAACTGCTTTAAACAATCAGCATCTGAAAATTAGAAAGAAAGCATTTAGTAAATGGGAAACCAACGCCAAACGCACAGTGCTAGAACCTTATTGACAGAATTTTTATTAAAAATTCCTAAAATAAACAATCAGGCTTGTATTTCATTAAAAGCTCCAGTTTACAGTGCTATTAATTTAAATTCATACGCTTAAAATGAGATTAACTTCAGCTAAGTGGTTTTGTTTGTTTTTTTTTTACTATTCAAGAGTGCTGTTGACTGTCATCTTCATAGAAGCGCTCGAACAAATCTCATAGAAACGTTAAACACATTAAAATAGGCTTGATTAAGCGAAAGAATGGCCTTCTATCGGAGTTTTTGCAATTCTTCCAATATATGGGGACCGCTCATGTGATCAATCGGAAGGCTCGGAAGTGCACTCTGCCTGATGTGGACTTTTAGTGGATACCCAAACGACGAAGGGCCCAAGCACAGAGCACTGTAGGAATGCACGTGTGTGGTTTCTGGGCGAGCCTAATTTTAGACCTGGGAGGGAGGGCTTTTACCGTGTCTTTGTTTACATTAGGCGACAGCTCCACGCTGCCCCATGAACAGGGCTACGAGAGGTATAAACATAGACGGGTTAAAAGGCCACGGAAAAGGCCGGAAATTGAGGCTATGCCATAGCAAATAGCTCAGATTTTGGTATGCAAATACCTCCAGGCAACCAAAAATGGCATTTTCTCTTGCGATTGTAACAATGATTATGAATTATGTTGCCGATTTATAGTGAATATAAATGAAGATGAAGACATTAGTTCGCAGAAATTACTATCAGTCCCTTTGGAGATGCTTTTTCACCGCCAAGTAAAAACTTTGTATGTGTTTGGAAGATATGAACGAAAACATTACTGCTAGTTTAGTTACTCGAATACTAAGGAAAAAGCTAAAAACATCTCTCATAGCTCCTCAAATATTGTGATTGTAGTAAAATTAGGAAAATAATCGTTTACAACTACCTTCATTACTTAAGGTGAATTTCCACAGCACTCCTTCACATATTACACCTCAGGTAAAATTGTGTTTTCCTTTTCTTAGATAACTCAACATTGCTTCGCACACTTACAGTTTGAAATCATCTGTGTCCGTTTTGATATATTAAAATGCTACCCTGCGAAAACCCAGCAGCTACAGATGCATTATTTGTTGACTATTGGCCCCACCTGTCAAAATCCGCATCAAATAAAGACGTACGATTTGCGTGTGCATAGGTCCAAGAACGAATGCTTACACAATCGACATTCAAATTATGCGGTTATTTTTCTTACATTCAAATTTAAATGTCAAGATCATAAAAATAACTTATAAAGCTGACCAAATAACAAAAATACTGCTCAATATTGCTTACATACCTAAAGGTTTAAATGAAGGGACCGAAAAGCCAACAAACATCAACTTTCAATTCCTATAATTAGATGCCATGGCTTAGCACCCGTGCGGATGTTTTTACCAAAGAGCATTGGAAATATTATTTCGTTATAAGAACTCAAATATCCGGCTTAAATCAGTCTACTATAATACTTCCGGAGTTAATAAATCACAGATAGCATAAATTATGTTCTCAAAAAGAAGCATGCTGCTATACGCGGAAATGGGTACGTTTCTCCTTGCGGGAACTTACGCAGAAGAAGAAAACCGAGAAGGCTGCGGCCTGCTGTCTCAGAGAGGGACATGATCAAAAATGAGTTAATCCACGCACAAGCACGCAAAATTGCAAAAACCGTCTTCTTTGCCTTCTTCCACCTTCTCCGGATTGTACCGACTTTCCCGTAAGTAGATGTGTGGGTTGGTCATGGCCCGACGATCCTCTTGTCCCAAAGCTTGGATGGGAGCTGAGAAGCGGATTGGTTGGGTGCAACATGCGCGCACATGCACGCATGAAGATAACGAGTATGCAGGTGCGTGCGTGTATGTGCCTACACATGGGCATTTTGGATTTTATGCTATCTACGTCGAATTAAAAACTCACTACGACTCTTTATTCTGAACGGTGACTCGAATCTTGGCAATTCATTTACTTCACTTTTATGAGGTTAATCATGTTCGCCGTACGTTCATGCCTTGAAAACATATATCTACCCAATAATCTCTTTTAAACTATTATGATAATAACTACCATTAGCTTAAATGACGGCATTTTAGGTTATTTATTAGGCCATTCAGGTGAGACATTCAACTAAACCTATTAGGCGAATTAAAGTCCCATTAATTTAGCCTCGCTCGGGATTTTTGGCATTTACTTACTTCCAAAATTTCTTATCAAGATTGAAGTAGAGCCATAGTGACAATATGAGGTATAAATGGGCCATAGGCTACAGTTAAATTACATAAAATTCATTAACGGATTTTAGATGGCTGTCGTATTTTAGACGTCGAACTAATTGAAAACTCATGATAAGATGCATTAAAACAATATTTTGTTTAACCCAATAGCGTATACGGAGACCATAAATGCGAACCAATATATCTGTTGGAATATTGATATGTTTGCTGCCTTGAAATCAACCTCCTCCTTACGCAAACAGAGAAGACATAATATAGGTTTTATTGGGGTATGATAAACTTCAAGCATTTTACGATTGTCCGTGTGTAAAATCCCTTGTATTTTACATCTGATACATATCTACGAAGGAATAAAAGATTTAATCTCAGAATTCATGGCAGGCATAACAAGGAGCGCAATTGATATGACTTACATCATGCACAACATCTTAAGACAGCGGTATAAGGCTCTCGTTCTCAACGCAATGAGCCATCATGCGCTACTTCAAGCAGTAGTAGTTAATCATACTATATAATCCGACACATTCCCTAGAAGTAGGGTTCGGACTTTTGTTCTGTGAAATTGCGAAAAAGATGGGAACTTGTCGTTTTACATAACTTTTTCTCCGTTGAATTCGAATTTGACCTTAATATCCCTTTTGTAAGATAAGTATTCAATAAATTTTAGTATTAATTCCCACAGTTAGTACTTTAAATTACTTTTTATGCATTAAAGTTTTTGGCCGCTCAATATTATCGCCAGAGGACTGTGTTTGCTCTGTGTACGTGCTATGGACTAGAGTTCTAAATGATCAACACAATTGGCTTGCCGAAGGTCAAACAATTACGTTTAAGATGTACTCGACACACCTCGAAGGTGCGTAATGAAAAAAAAAGCCTTAGAAACAATCGGGACTAGTGCATTAGTCATAAAAAGGTCAAGTTCCTACAAGGCAGAGCAAAGTCTCATTAATGATCCCTAAGAAAACTAGCACTAAAGAGTGAAAGAGAGGCAATGATCTATCTTTATTCTCCAAAATCCCTGCTGATTATTCCTTCATGTGGTGAATATAGTTTTTCCCCTGCAGAGTAAAATAGATGGCTTTAAAACAATTTAAGAAATGGAGGTGGCTAGGGATTGACAATTTCTTAGCTTCTAAAAGCAAAACTTTTTATATGAAGGTGCGATTTGTAGCTAGAAAGGAACTCACTAAAAGTGATTGAAGATTGCAACGGCGATCACTTCAACGACTAAAACACTTGGAGAAGCCTACTTGGGTTATTTGTTTTTAACTCTAAGACACCATAAGAAAGTACTTATTCTTCTTTTATTCCAGGCATAAAACCCTCGGAGGGAGTAATAAAATCGTAACCTCAATTTAACCACGGAAATGGAACAATCAGTCTCCTACGCAGTTTATTCAACTTTTAATGGGGAATTTCAGCCCGTTTGATGAAACCACTAACCGAGATTTTATGATAGGGTTTATTAGATCTCAAATCCCATGAGATCGGTCATGCTTTAGTTGGCTCTCCCAAACCCGATTCTATCAGGTAAAGAGTCGATCAGATTGTAATGCGAAGTGTCTAACATAATACCTGAGTCAACTTTCCGTTAGGTAATTTTTCTTGCTTCTCTAGTGCATAGTATTACGGGAAATAAAAAGACGCTGTTTGGTGCACTAGAGACCTTACATCTTACGCCAAAAGTGCATCGAGTAATGATATGAAGGAAGGTATTTAGGCAGATATTTTTAAAATTTAAAGCTAAAGTCTATTACCCTTTATTTAATGAAGTAGTTATTATTCGTTCAAATAGCAGATGGTTTAATTGAAGGTGCTAAAGCACCTAGTAATCATGATTATGTAATACGTCGGTTGAAATACAGTCTACTCCTTCTGTTTCTTCTTCCTAACGTCTTTTGTAAAGGATTTTCAGAAACCGCTTATTGAGATGAAAATTTTTCAATCATAAGTCAGTTCTTAATTTTCATGGGTTCATTGTAAAGTGCATTTCAGGTTAATTTTCTAAGCAAATGCGTATCGTTCCCAGACTTCCCAGAGGACAAAAGAAGACATATTACTCGGGCAGAACATGCATAAACTACCTGTGGAAGGGTTTAGGGCTACTGTAATGGTTCGGAGGTCAAGCCGTCCGGTAAGGGTATAGTGAAGAAGCCCTAAGTAACCTGTTACCAAAACTGTAAGTTAAATAAGCAATTGAAGTACAGCAAATGATTTATTTTTAGATGCCTTAGAACTCAGGCGCGAGATCAATGAAAAACGAATAAGTAAACATCGGTTTGTTTTTGATTTTCCAAAGCAAGGACTAAAGCAGTTGAATAATATTTCGTTTTGTAGGAAACCCCACATTCATTCATTCGTGTTTTTAGCACACCTGAATTTAGCTGCTCCCACATAAAGTAACCATGTGTACTCGTGGTAGTCGTTACCAAAGCTCCTCTTACCGATGTAAGAAAGTCAAGGAGATCTTCCCACTCTCAAGCCTAATGCGCGCAAAGTTATTCGTAATATGCCGTTATCGATGAGACGTGTTTCATGTTTTGTATCCGAGATACTTTATGCCTGACTGGCGCAAGTTGTCGTGACTGCTGTCGAAATTATGCAGTATTAACGACTTTAAACAAAAAACTATACAAGAAGTAAACTAAATTTCCGCTTTTTACTGCACCACTTTTTTGGATTATCAAATAAGGATATTTAATATGATTCAAATAATTGTTTTATTAGACCCGTTGGTCTCCAAAATTTAAAGCTCTCTAGTTCCTCTTCATTGTATCTCATTTTAATGAGGCAGGGATGAATTCAATGACAAAATACTGCTGACTGTCAGTAGAAAAGTCATTTTAAATGAGTACTGCTGGTAAAAGGCTTATAAATAAATCACTATCAAGGTGAACTTTGCAGTTTTTTCCTGTTAAGGAACAAGCTTAATTAAAGAAATGTTCAAAAATAGGGGTTGATGCTATTGCCACGACTAACTAGCTTTATTACTAACATTACTATAGTGATCCCATCTGTGTTTGTAGGTTGTATTTCCATCCTTTGGCATGCTGTTTGAGCTATGCTTATGGCCTGTTAGCTTTAATGATACAGGAGACATCACATTATCAAAATTATACGATTTGTTTTGCCTCTGAATCATATTCACGTTTTCTTAAAAAAAATTTAACCCAATTTCAAAATCAAAGTTGTAAAGTTCTTTGGATTTATTACCGGTAATATTTTGTAACCGAACATTTTAATGGAAATAAGATTAATGCTTTTAACTCCTCTCTCTTCTTAGGTTAAAAGGCCGTCCTTGAATTAGCTACATCTAGTTTTTCGTAAAAAGTGACTTTAGGGTGTATGTTTACAGGGTAATTAATGCCATTTTAGATTATTTGTGTCATGTGCTAAATATTTATTTAATTGTATAGTCTGAAGCCATACTACCGTATCATTTCAGCTGTTGTTTGAAACCGTATTCAAAAATTTTTAGTCAACCAAAAGGCTTAATTATTATTTTACCTATTTTTGATTGAGACTAACTGTTGTCATGGTTTCCAATCATTTATTGGGAAAACAGTTTGCTTGCATGATGGGAAAAAACGACTAATTTGTACCTTAAATGAACCAAAACTATTCGTTTGCAACGATTTGATACTCTGAGAAAGAATCGTTTCGATGACATCTATCGAAAGCTGGTTTTCAGATCTAGCTTAAGGATTTGTCACTTGCATTTTTTATCTTTAGAAGAAAAGAAGAACATTATAAGCAGTTTTTAAAACATACTATTAGTTTTGCCTTTAGCTTCAAATCGGTGTGAATACTTTGCTATAGTGTAGCCTTACTGGTTTGTTACGGTTTGTGAACATCTAATTTTATCTGCAAAACCATCTAAGGTTTAGGTCACTCATTGCCTTGCTGGTACGAAGCTATAAAGCACCACGAAAACATGCCAAATCAGTACACTTATAGTACTATAGGTCATAACGGTCAACAAGCCCTGTCAAATGCATAATCGATGTGGAATTAGACCATCCAGGGCTTTGTTGATGACTGGTCTCATTAAGTAGGGTGCTTAAGTTGAGTTCTTAAAGCTGGTGCTAATTTTTTTACTCCTGAGACAATTTTGGTGGAGGAAATAACAAAAATATACATAATGTTAATGCATTTATAAAGCAATAAAGAGTCAAGTCCTTTGGTACGAAGGTTTTGAGGACAATATTTATTTTTTTTTATTGAAGCATACCAATATGCGCCTAGTTAATTACGAAAATAGATGGGTTTTCATAGTATTTCATCAGTAGACCCAAAATTGGGTATTTTTGCAAGGATTCGTAGTTGAGAAGTCAATCTCGAGGACGATGCCAAAGCCGAAAATTCGGTGGATGCGTGTTTGTATCACAAACAGGACTCACTTTCATATTTCAGGTAGTTTATAACTTTGTCACTATACTAAAGGGCTTCACAGGAATATATGCTCAACTATATTAGCACTGCAATTATAATTGACTTAGAAGTGGTTAAACCAGTAGGTTTTGCTAAATATTAGTATTCTTAATAACAAATTATTCATTTATCTTTGGTGAACTGTTCTCTACCAAGCACTTTATAATTTACTTTATGAAAAAGCTGCTAGTTCCTTCTTTGCTGTTCGAAAGGTTAATGACGATGGTAGCGATTTTTACCATGAGTTTGATCATGCTATCTCTCAACCAATGCACTTTAACAACAATAATTGTTTAACGCCAAACAAAAACCCAGTAATAAGTTTTAAACTTGCATTACAAATTTATAACAATAGAAATATATGGTGACGTTCTATGGTGCAAATAAAGTTGATGGATACAGGGAGCAAAGGAAGTAAAAGGGGGAATATTTAATTCCACTTATTAGTTTGTTATGGTTAATTCAGTGATATTTCGCATTTTGCCCATAAGTGATTAACAAAGCGCAGTCTAAATCATGCATGATTTATGCGGGGTGGATCCGTGAAATGCTGCACACAACGTCACCCAGACTGGGCTGACAGGGAGGATGTCGTCTTTTCAATCGGCAGTCAATCTGGTCTCTGCGCCTATTTTTATCCCGCCTCTCTGCCTGAGTGCTTGGCAGGTGTTAGCACTCTCCCCGCGACCATCGGATAAAAGGCCGAGACTGTTGTTTCAACTGCATCCGCCATCGATTTCGGACCAGCAGGAGATTGAGTCTCCATGCCCAGTATAATTAGGGCCAGAATAGCCGCAGCCACACAAATCGCGTTGCTGCTTACAGATAAGATGCGTTTCACACTGAATCAGTTTGGCATCATGCATCGTACCACTGGTGTCGCGAAATTCGCAAACAATAGGGCTACTGTTTGTCCCATAATCACTATACAAGTAAACATGCTAAATTTATGCTTAAGATAGTTTTAAACTGTAGTTGTCTATGTTAACCAGATCAAGTTAATGAAATCTTGTGCATTTAAAGTTAAGTCTATTTTACTCTATACGCTATTATTTCATCCACTTTTCATATGAGTTATTCCACATGGAACTCATTGATAAGTGGAATTTTAATCATTATGCGGTGATTTTTATTTTTGAAAACATTTATAGTAGACCTTTTGGGTATTTCAAATATCTTTAATCCAACTATTAATTGTGTAAAATTTCAACGGGTGAGGCTACTACAGGCGAGGAAGGTAGGGTTTATTACCGTGAATATAGTTTCATGAAATGCATATTTAAAGAGGTCCATTTTGATTGTCGTTTTATCTACTGGAGCAATATTTGTTTCTAGCAGGAACAACCACCCGGGTCCCTGACCCATACTTTAAATCGACCGACAAATAAATTTCGTTGTGCTATGAATGCAGTTTTTCCCTTAGTAAACAAAAAATGAAGGAATATTGTAAATGAAGTGTCGAAGAAGAAATTAGGTAGATGCGGACCGGACGCATTGCAAGTTGAAGGACGTGTATGAATGTTGAGTGAAGACCATTATCATGGATGCGAATCGGGTTTTGACAGTTAATCACATCAAGAAATTTGTGTGCATAGTAGACAGCAGATTTAAATGTGGTTTCTAAGTCCTTTTAAAAATCCTCAACTTACAGACAAAATTTGGTTATTTTGCAAAAGATAGAATCGAGATTTATTATCGATAAAAGGGTAATCGTACTCCATAGAATAATGCACAATAAATAGCCATTTAAAGACCCAACCTTCTCTGTGATGATTAAGCAGCTGAATCAAAAAAAATTTTCTGGAGATAGAATAAACATATGGGATGGTGTCGTGCATCAAAAAACCCATATATTTCCCTCTTTTGAAAGTGTATTTTCCAAATAATGGCGCATCATATTCAACTACAAATATCCTCGTGTATAATTTCGTTTGTTTATTTATTTAAAGCGAAATAGCCTTTGGTCTTTTCCCATATTATCTATTGTCCAATAAAGAAATTAGGTCGGTTAATTCAAATATTCAAGAAACTAGTTGTATTTTTGAAAAATTAATTTAAACGTGGTTTTATGTCTGAATAAGGTTTTTCGACACTATCGTGATGACAAAAATATATTGAATGGGAGAAGCTTTAGTGCCTATATGTATTTAACACTCGTTAACTATTGGCTGGGTTGTGCCACGCTCTGCAAAATTTCTACTTTATATGGTATCTTCATGCTGTTTGCAGTCTTTGTTATCAGGCAACTTTTCTATCATTTCCTAGTAAAATATGCGTGAATAAAAGGATCACACGACTAGCGTCCATGTGATTCACAGAGCACATTCAAATTAGTGGGATTAGGAAAGTTTTTGTCTTAATCTTCTGTATTTGCATTTATAGCAGTTAACAGTGCCAAGATTAACATAAGAAAAAAGTGGGAAGTACCAAAAATCTGTCCACTTTCAAATAAGCCACTTATAAGCATGTTTTCCTCTCCCTTCCAGGAATTTGAGTATTCATCGGATTCCCAATTCCAAGCGGCTTAAACAAACTGATAATTTAATGTAACACTTTAGTTGTATACGAATAATAGTTAAGAAAACACCCAAAAGTTGATAGGAAGAAGAACCGCGGAAAAGTGAGAGCGCAAGTCGGCTTTGCTGGATAAAATGTGCGTCTCCACCTTCTGACTCAGTATTTGATCGCTGTATAGTCATATTCAAGTCACAAGTCATGCTTCAGAATGCTCAGATGGTGTTGTTGATACGGATAAGAAGAGCGTGTTGACAGCTTGATGTCTTCATTTGCTACAGTTATACATTGGGATTAAATAAAAAGTGAAAAGCACCGATGCCACGCGATTAACTTTTACCGTTTGCACTAATGCAGCATCATTTCACAAACATTTCTATCATTTAGTTGCAGTTTTGCATTTAGATAACACTAATAAGAATGCACTAGTGAAGTGTGCTCAACATATTTAGGTTAACACGAACTTACATAATCGCAGACACAGTCAAAAGTGTATGGGTAAGAACGCACCAACAATGGGTTTTCAAAGCCTTACCAGTAGATTGTTTTTAATACCTTTAACACAATAGCGTTTGTGAAGTCTTCTCAAGATTTAAATCAAAACTAATTGTTTGCTAGTTAGGGAGAGAATTAATACGAAGCCAGTTCCGCATCTAAGTCATGGAACAGGAAACAAGAAAGTAGTCTAATCACCAAAGAATTCATCCCAATAAAGTTTATTATTTTATTCAAATTTCGAACTAATAACGGAGGTGAGCCACAAGAGGACTTGTTTTATTTTCACGAGTCTAAAAAAATGAATTTTTTTATATGCGGCCAAATCTTTCACCAAAATGCGCTTACTCCACCTATTTCTCTTGGCTTTACAAACCACTTTTTGAGATTTGATAATCTAGTTCTACTCCTGAACATCTCTCCTCCCCCTCTCCCTCTAGCTTTCCTACGAGAAGCCTTTATGCCGCTACTGTCACTCCCAACATCGAATTTGCTCGTAAGCTCAGACGGGAATATATAAGTTGCTAAAATCTCGTCTTTTAGTCACACACACCCAAACACATCCAAAGTTTGTGTATACCGCACCTTTTGAACCCACTTTAATTGTCGTTAAACCTAAAGACATTGGTTTACTAACAAAACAACTAAATCCAGACAGTCCCTGTTGTTGTGCGAAATAAACTAACTCGTAATGAGTGGAGTATGGCACATCTCCTTTTAATGGACACTGGTGCTGCTACTGTGAACGAATGCGTGAGAAGAAACATGACTAAGGGAAATGATAATGAGTGCTCATTCAAACGCAAGCCTGAAGTCGTGCGTGTCACAGAATTCATTTACTCTCAAATACACAGGGTAATATACAAGCCAATAATGTTAAAATATTTCCTCAAAATAGGCGATGCATTTGCAGAGTAGATTACATATTATAAGAGCATCATTTCAAATCCAGCTTTTACTGAGGTCAATAAAACTACCAGCATTTCACCTTTAGTGTTTAGCAAGTACACTGAAATTATCGAATTCATACAAAACTGGTTAGTTATACACTAATCCTCTACAATTTCCTTAATTCTGTGGTAAAGATATTTCAGTGAAAATAGCATATGCAGTCATTTTAGTCGAATAAAATATTTTTCAAACACGGCAATCCAAACGACCTCTAATCAAGCTCGTTGACAAAACCAGAATAAAATTGGGATTTGTTAAGCTTGTGGAGTCAGAGGTATCCTAAAGTTTTAAGCTACTAAATAAACTAGATTTCATCATCTTGTTATAACGTGTTTTTTCAGCACCTCGTATTTCCAAAACAAATCATCCTGTGGTTTTTCACACCATTTCAATCAATGTGTCTATAAGCTTACTGAATGAGAATAGGTAGGTAGGTATAACTGAAAATATTGGAAGTCGACTGCACACCGAGCTTTCAATTCTTCCTTTATTCAGAAAGGGCGAATCTCAGAAGCCAACTACGAGTTTGTACTCGATTTTGTCAAATTGGTATTAGTCACTTGTGAGCAAGTTATGCAGCTAATTCTTTACAATTTACCATTTACGTATGCAAATCTATTATTCAGTTGCCATTCAGTTTCAAGTATATGCTTATTTACCTTCATACATGAAAAAGGTGAAATAACTAATAGGAATGTAGTGCCTGAATATGTTGTGGTCCAGCTATAGACAAAGAAAACTTGTGCTCCCATGATGGAAACTTAGTGTAGTAGTTTAAAATTAGAAAGTGAGGATAACGGACCCTGTTATGAGACACTTAGAAGTTTACACAAAAGAGATCTAACATATGAACAAAGTATCCGCGGTCCTTTTACAACAGGAGTAATAGATTGGTTTATAATCTCAGTCGAAAATGGCAGCTAAAATTCTACCTTAATACTGAAGGTTCGGGCGAAACTGACTTTAGTGAAACTTCATAATATGATGCATGATACTCAGGTAATTATAAAAATTAGATTGGAATGCTATTTTGTGTGCGTTTGCTGGGACAGCAAGTAGTGGTGTGATTTTCCACCACAAATGATTGAGAAGCATTAATCCTTTTTTACCAATAATTGCTAGATTTTAAATAAAACGTCAAGAATACTACTTATGCTTTATCTAATAATAAAAACATGTCTAAATATTAAGCAGTGTACCTTATCAGCGAAAGAGCTTTGGTTCTGTGAATTTTCTAAACTAAAATGTTGATTTATTGAGATCTGCCACACTTTCGATACTTAAATCAACATGACCACCTTACTTCCTGCTCACAAAAGGCGCTATTTAAAAAGAATTCACCGTTTATGAGTTTATGTAGTGCCCCTGCAAATTGTACTTTTATGCCTCCGTAAGACCCATGCCCCACCATTGACTGCATCAAATATCACAATTTAAGTGTAGCGTTTTGGGGACAGTTCCGCGATTGATTCCACATGCTGCTATTTTACGCTTTGTCTATCATTCATCGTTCATTAAGGCAAAGACCATAACCTTCTTTTTGGACGGATAAATTAACGTGGCTTTGGGCATATTAAGATCAAATTGACACGTGATTTTCCTCGTCCCCCCTTCCATTTTGCTCCTAATAGTTGTGATCAGCATTTGATTATTTGTTTATCCAAATTGCTCAGCGATCGTTGCACATCCTGTTAGACCTTTCTCCATGCATTAAAACTCTTTCCCTTTTGGTGTTAATGGAATACTGGTTGTGAAACAGACGCAGGGAGTTTGGAGAAGGTGTGGTATCATTATGCATTACATTTGCATTCAATGAATTTTGATTTAATCTTCATGACCACGTTTTGTATTTCACAGTAAGATTCTTGAAGTTACCTTATTAATTGAGAGAAAGTGTTTTGATACTACTGACAGGCTTTTGAAAATAAAGTAGCTTTTAATAGGAGATCCTATAGTTGTTGGTGGTTTTATAAGCAATATGTATATAATTAGTGATAGAATAATGCAAGAACACCTCCATTAACCTGCATATGAGTAACCTTACCCGTACCAAAAGGAAAACATGCCAGTCTATCTCATACGGAATTACATATGAGGTTACGGATAGCTAAACCTTCCTAGGATACCTAAATTGACGTTTGGATGTCTTGTATCTGGAATACATGCTTTATGGATGGGAATGAGTGCAAAGGTCAAATAAGCTCTACCGCATCTACTGCAGCTTCGAATTGTGGAAGCGTTACTTCTGCGTAACACTGGGAACCACATTTAACGAAACAGATCATGAAAGACTCTGATTCCAATTTGAGAGAACAGTCAACCATAAACTCTGGGCTATCTTATTCTGCATTTTCACAATGACAGAAACAAGCGGACAGAATACTCTCTGTGAAAGAGTGCATAATAAAGTGCTCTTCCAAAACAGTGCCTAGAGAATTAAAAGGAAATTACAATGTCTTCGTAAACGAAAAATATATGCACAATCGTCGCAACTCAATGAGGACAGGAATAACACCTCGAAGCGATTCAAACCATCTTGACTCCCTTTGGTGACTAACGCGTAAAAGCCTACGAAAGATTTTTCACTGAGCCGTCCTCAAAGCAGTGGTGCCTTTCTTGAGTGAATTATACTTTAAGCTACTAAATGCGCTTTCGTTGCTTAATCATTTAACAGATAAACCAAATTTGAAATGGACTCATCTTTCCAGGAGGCAGAGAATAATGCCCATATGAACCTTTTGTGATAAATTTCCACTAAATAAATTGGTTACTTAAAAAATATAAACCTTAGTGTTGCCTTCGATAAGCACTTTTTAAACTCCTGCATTTGCAGCTACCTTTCATCTTTTCCAACTCAGGGAGTAATCAATACTCCGCATCTTCGAATGAGACTTTTGGTAGGTAACAGCAGGATTCTAAAACAAGTGTCGGCTAGGTGGATTAAATATTCTTAAATGCTTTTTCCTTTTTCATTTTAGTAGCGAATTTTTACTGATAAACACATTGTATTCTTAATAGGCATAAAACTTTCACGATGCTAGGGCGAGGTTTGTGCAAGGGGATTAGAAAATTTGTTTTTAATTGATATAACCGATTATTGGCTCCGCAAAATTGTAGAAAGCAATTAGTAATGATAACTTGTTTAAAATCTTGCATGAACAGGTTTTTGGATTTTTAACAAGTATTAAACAAAAGCCTTAATGATTTAATTCTATTTCATAAGAGAAGTTTACATAATTTTATGAGGTGACTTCTAGTCTGTATGAAAATATTAGAATATTCAGTTCTCGTACTTAAAATTTTAATCTGGAAATGTTGTCTCTTATTGAAATGTTAATTTTTGCCTATATAATTGTTTTTTGATAAAAATTAGTTCTTAAAAGAGTTCATTCGCCAAACTTTCTTGCACACCGTATTCATGATGGTATATTTAACGGTCCTCATGTAAGAATAAGCTCGTTGTGTGTATTAAACAGCGCTATGTCCATTGAAAACGGCGCCAAATGGTGGTTGTGACTTTGAGCATAATCATGACATTTTGCATTGTTCCCGAGGCTGGTTTTGCGATCTATATATAGTTATGGAAAAGGCCGGTGATTCTGTCGACATCACATACTAGCCTCTACAAAACCCACGAACCATTGCCCAATGCATCAAATAGTGCAACATCAGTGCGGCGTTTTTCCAAATTAGTTGAGTAAATGAATCCACAAATCAATTCCCAGGTCTCTTTCTCACCTCATTTACTGTTTTACAAAATATTTTATCGCAATGTTTCGCACGATTCACCAACTCTTGATCTAAATGAAACCAACCAATTTCTAGTAGTGTCCAAAGATTGTGCAAATTAGCAGAGGACACAAAGACAAATTTTTTGGGGAAGTTTAGCGAATTAAAAACTTCTCAACACAAAGTAGACAATGTTAAAATAAAATTGCATTAGATAATAATAATATTTTCTCCACTGTCATACTTGCATCTGATTATTTCTTAAATTGTTTGAACATTAGAAGCAATATTGGGTGTTTGCTTTTTAATTATTAAGGGTAGGTTTCGCTCATTGATAGCAAACTACCTAGTAGCAATCTGAATTCAAAATTGTGTTTTCTTTTTATCGTAGGCTATCACAAATAAGTATGGTAAAAGAAAGGAAGGTTTTTATGTCTGATTTTGTTCATTGTAACGGCCATACCAGAAACCATGACAACACGTACCTTGGGTAATTTATCTTTTCATTAGTGAATAGGGAGTAAACGACTACAACCATAACGTACTAGGTATGGTTCAACTGAACGAAAGGGTTGCTTTTATTTCACACCTTGACACCTTTATATGCAGCAACCACTATTAAAAGGTGATCTTCAGGTGAGTTTCATGTAGTTTGACATTATATGGTAGAGCAAGTTTATTGTTAGACGTTGACAAAAGTCTTGTAACTTCAAAAAGTATTGGATATTGGTAGTTTAATTAGGGTTCTTACTAACACGCCCCAGTCGGGACAATAATTGGACACTCTGCAAACAATCAATACCTAACTTCTAAAAATGCAAATCAACGTGAGTACAGTTAAAAATGCCATATGATTCGTGATGCATTCTAAGACGGCAGATGGAGCAAATGTTGACAGTCAATGCGGATGTTAAGAGAACGGGCATAGGTAAAACGAGGGGTGGCGCGAGGAGACGCTGCGTAGGTGAAGGTGGTGGTGGCAGTGGCGAAGGAGCAGCAGTGCAGGAATCAGCGATTACCGGCCGTATGGTTGAGTCGCTCTCGCAATCTGTCAGTGGAACGATGGGAGAATTAGTGGTGGTGGTGAATGAGATCAGACGCCTCGAATAAACAGCGAACTGCTGTTACACAATTCTCACAAGTGAGCAGATGGTCTTACTAAGTAAACACACTGGTTTTATTGCAGCAATTGGTAGGTGAAGCCATCCTATTGCACTCAACAGTTCGTTGTTTTGACACTTCGTCAAAAGCAAAATGACTAAAAGTTGCAAACTGAACCCAAGTAATCAAGTTTGAGGACATCGCTTACTAACGCTCAGCGAAAAACAATGAATCCAAGCGGCAATTCACTTACTTCCAAAAAAGGTACACCATCACACTGGAATAGAGCACTAAAACAAAGCTGCAATTGTCATATCTAAAGCTTATGTATAGACTGCCCTACTATCATAATCTACCATTATACTAGGTGGATGAATTCTTCCTAAGTTAATTAATTTATTGTTTTCGTAATAGCACATTTAAGAATTATGAGGGCTTAAGGTTTAGGTTTCCTTCTATATCAGATTACTTGTACTCACTACTTTATTCCAAGCTTTATACACACCTTGTTGATCGAAAGCCCTGCACTGTATGGCTCTTTAATGGAGCAGCCTTAAGGACTAAAATAAATCAGCCATTTGATAAATATATCTAGTCAGTAGTTTCGTCGGCAAAAGACTTCTTGGTTACTTTTTATTGTGTCAATAATTGCATTTTCATGTTTATAAAAAGAAGGAACATGCTGGCTTCCTCTGCGTCACTGTAAACTCCAAAATTTTGCATAAAGAGTTACTGAATTTTAGTGAAATTGCAGTATTCCAACAGAGTGCACTTTATAGAAGTAAAGCTTAATGTAAGGTTTTCATATTTTCAGGTAAATGTACTTCAGTTTGTACTACATCATTGGCTACAATAATTTTTGAAGCTATGACGTATTCAAAATGGCTTTGTATAATCTACACAATTAATTCAATTCAAAGAAACTTTAAAATGCTGAAGCGTAGACTGCTCAGATGGCATTTAGGTACATGCGGTTTCAGTGAGGTTATGATTTTTCTTAATCAAAATTTGTTGCTTTTAAAATGACCAAACCGGTAGTTGGCCTCTGTTCGTTAAATTTTGAATATGGGTTAAACAACAGAGAGGATCTGATTTCGCTGTGCTACCACATCAGCACACCTGAACTGCCATTCAGGTTCCAAATTTTCCAAGTAATCGCAAATAGTTGTATAGAGTTTGACCCCGATCTCAAAATGTATGTATGGCTGAGTTTTTGAACTTATTGGCATCATGTTTATTTGCGGTAGAAAATAGTGGCAGTAGTTTTGTAATAATCTTGCACCTTAACGAAAATTTAATTTTTCTTTCAATTAAAAGTCTTAGCAGTGACTTGTGCTTTTACAATATTAGATGGAAAGAAACAACGTTCTATAAAAATGTGGAAATGATGAGAATTTCATTATTTTTGTTTCTTTAAAGAGCGACTTTTGTGGACGATTGATTTAGTTAAAATGATGTTTAATAGTTCCTGCATGAACCCATGGTACTTTGAATTGCCACATTTATCGCAAATTTATCCCTCGTAGTGTTTATCTGCTCTACAAAGGTTTATAAAAATGTTAAAAAGACGTTACAACACAAATGTTCAAAGTTGATTGCACTGACAGCCCTTCCCTTCCTTCTCTTGTACCTCGTTTCAGCACCTTACCCGGAATTTCTTATGCATCCACACAAACACAGTCTACTTCCAGACAATAGACCCATCTCCGTCTAGTCTGTTCTCATTGGCACCTATACAGCATTGGACGTGAGTAAAACTGCCTGTCCCTTTCACCGAAATCGTCCAATAGTTCGAATTCTAGCACATATTTTTCCACAAATACGATGCTTTTATAAGAAAGTTTTGTGGTGCCTATTTATTGCACGCTTATCCCTTTCATTTTTCGAGGCTTGTTTGAATAAACACATCGGTACGTAACTTGGTGCAGGAGGCTGGCCTCTAAGGCGAAAGACCTATAATGATTATTTGCGCTCACTCCAAACCTCCAGAGCCTAAGTATCTTTTGAATGGGTTACCTTTAAAAACTAGACGGAGTTACCTGAACCACACAAAACTATAGTTTTTTTCTTGATTTCTTCATATCCTTGGAAAGCTTATCGCCGCTACAATCCTTCTAACTCGATTTCCTGACTACTTTAATACTCACTTCAACATTATAATCGAAATGAAATTTTTAAAGGCCGTTTTCATTTTCTTTACCATTTTCTAAAATTTGTTTACGAATTTGCGCTCCTTCAATTAAATTTTTCGCCTCCACTCTAAGTACTGCTCGTGATTGGGAACTGAAATGCTCTGACGGTCTTTTTTACAAAGAATTTTTCGTATCAATAACTCCAGCTGCAAAATAAAGCAGGACCCATTAAGTTCTTTGGCATCATTCGTCAAATCGATCTGAAGTTTAGTGTGCGTTTTGATTCGTAGTGATCATCAGGGGCAGTTATCCCGGCCTATACTGATAACGGCTGTGTGGAAAAAAATTCGGGTGCTTTAATGGGTTCATACATCCCAGTCTTCCAATTGGTTGAGATTAATTTTAACTTCCTGCTAATTTTAGGTGGAGTTTAATCATTAACCAATGAGATGCGGGAATCGGGTATTAATGAGCCTGTTGGTTGGATAAGGCACTCAATGCTGTACTCAATGCAAACACAGGAAGGTATATAAAGGGATGCATTTTCAAACTTTATCAGATTACGAAATAGATCCAATTTACCACCACAAGCATGCGTGCAATGTTAGCTGTCCTCCTCTGTGCCTTATCCGTAGGTGACCCATGTTGCGATTTATATGCTATATTTTTAATTCAACCTCCTCTCAAGTTACACACTTAATTCTATTTTTGAATGAATTTTCCAAATAAAAGATTTGGTTATTTTTGAGTAGTTAAATCAACCATGAACGGACGTAGTAGGTGCTAATTTAAAACTTCTTAAACGCCTTAGCACTTGAACTACCTCCCCGAACTTTCATTCATGACTCCGTCAGATATGGCATTCACCAGACACAGCGTTAAAATGCAAGTAATAGATAACCAAAATGGCTTTTTTATTTCCAATTTTTACGCACGCCTCTTATTGCAGTTTTTCGGCTGCGTGTCAATGGCCCATCCTTTGTCCGATGAAGAGAGCTTGGAGCTATTTAAGCGCTACTTCGATCCTATCCGATTCGCGATGGGTCGTAAGTAATTCAAGTGACTTATTTAGTCCCCACATTACGACCTCACCTTTATCGAAGGTTAATTAAGGATTTATCCATAAAATCGGAATGGTTTTGTTCTATGCTACCGGCTTGGTGTGAATTGATGCTGTCTCAGTAAATAGGTAAATTTGTTAAGCTTACGATATCCATTGCAGCTACAGATGATAGACTAAAATCGGTAACAAGTAAATTTGTCAAAACTGCTCCGTCAATCTTCCCTAATGAGCGGGCAGAGATGCATGGTTTTTTTGCAACCTTATGCTCTTGGCATTAAATGCAAGGAAATGGGCAAAATGCACTTACGGTGCAATTTATAATTCGGTCCATAATAAACAGCACCAAGAAGAACTCATCAGCATTACTTATTGTCTGATCTACCTCTGTTAGATTTCACCAACAAGATATAAGCTAATGTGGCAACATATCCACTTTGCTCGGGCCACTTACCCAACAAGATTATTGAGACTGCTTTTTCCACTTTTAGCCATTCGTACCAAGGAGGATTTGGATAAGCGTGAAGCGGTCGTCGCCTCGAAGCGATACTTTGACCCCATCCTCTTCAAGCACGCCTATTAGAACAGTGCCTGTAGAGCGAACCCTTTCTTTGTGTTATGCACAGTAAACAATCGGCATACATTTACTACATGACTGGACTCTTTAAATGGTGGGATTGGGGGCGAGGATGGTGGGGGAGGTGGGGTGAGAGGTGACCTAATTTGCTTTCAAGAGGATGTATTTGTGTACGCGTGTGCACAATGTGAAGTCGGTTCCTTTAAATCACACTATACCAGACAATGTATAAATCCTCAAACGAGGCTTATGATCATCTTCGCAACACGTGATCCACTTTTCAGTGGTCATCTAATCTGTGCTTGTATGCTATCATCGTGGAGTATGCATTTTATTACAACCCAGCTACACTTAACATACATACGTCTGAAGTTCACTTGAATTTTTGCATTGTTTATAACTACAATTGGTTTTGAGGGGTTGTTTTAAAATTGATTACATTTAATATCCGTAGTAAGACAGCTTAGAATTAGGTTCTCGTCTTTACTGAAGCAGATGACAAGTCAAATCAACGTGCACATTGTAGAAGAGAGTATTTATTATTTGCAGTATGACACTTGCCACTTATAAGATCGGGTATTTTGGTCTATTAATCGAGATGGATGACACGAGTTAGTACATTAATCCCAGTGCTGCCTTCTATGGTCTCTTATTTAAACACACTGAATTTATATTTAGTCAAACTGCAGTCACATTTATTACCGTCAGATTTATGAGAAACGCAACCTGGGCATAGTTGTAACCGACCTATAACAACCACAAGTCTCTAAGTAATTCTGAAAGAGAGTAAAAGATAGATTTGGCATTTCGTCTTAACCGAAAAAAAAATTTTGATGCATATTTGTATATTTAACTTCAAACACCCTAAAATATTTTAAATAAGCAGACTGAGTGAAGTTATTATTTACCATGTTAATTATATGGAGCAACATCGCCGTCGCTTGGAATTTATACTCCGGTTAAATACCAAATTTGACTGCCTGAATTATGAGTTGGAGGATCAGGAGGGTATATACATAAAGAAATATCAAAAAAAAATATATACGTTCACTTTAAGAGTTTAGTAAAGCCGAAATTTAGAACAACACAAAATGATACCCTACTGCTTTGCTTAATACTTAACAATGGATCTTAATGCCGGTTTTATGAATTCTCAATTTGGACTCCTTGATGTGCTCATTATACGCCCTTTTGATCAAGTGTCTCAATCAGCAAATTCAGATCAGTGCAAAGGTCATTTGAAACCCAAAATTTAGTCTACCAATCGCAAAAGCATCGAGAATGAATTGATTCAGGGGCGATGAATTGCGGGTGCGTACTACCTTTAAAATCTCCTCACAAAATCGTGCTACTCAAATGTTAACTCAAACAGAACCCTGCATTGATCGACGAAGGGGCTGTTCTCCTGCGTTCCTTCAACACCTCTTATCGACTAAATACTCTTTAAAAGTTCTAAACAGTTTTACTGCTTTTTAAGATTTCTTGGTTGGGTGAGACATTTCGTACGCAGTTCCCTCACATAGATTATCAGGAAAAAACAGAGAACCCTATCGAGTCACGACTTTGCAAATGCCCAGTTTAAGTAATCACTTCAAACACCTAATGCTCATGCTCTTAAATAAAAAGGGACGATTTTCCAGTCGCGTTGTAGGTATTTGTTAGGCGAATTGGATGATCAAATGCCAGTGGACCTAATTTTCCCAACTCTAATCTACGCACGCCGATCCTTTTTATCCTCGGCGTTGGTATTGCATTGAAAATGCCATATCCTTTTAACGTTTGGAATAAAAGGCGATATCTCCGATTCGATAGAAATTGTTTCCATGGCTCATCAAAAATAAATTCTACTTGCTTAATTTAGTAGCATAAGAATCGAATTAATGACAAGGTGAAGGCTCCACATGCTGCTGGATGGCCGCTAATACGCGCCACCGCAGTAGATAGGTTGATCAGTTAACTTGTGGCGCTCTGCTAGCTAGAGAGATCAAGCAGGCCAGTTTGATGTGGTAGTTCCAGGACTGAATTTGGGAATTTACATAAACAAATGGAGCCAACAACACCAGCAAACGCTCTATTGCAAAACCAATTAAGCGTGCAGCTTCTACACGAATCCAAGTAAGGTTCTGCTACGTAAGTGGTGTTAGTTTAGTTTCTGTTGATCAAAGTGCGCAACCAGAGGTAGAGCTCGCTGTTCAGCTAGGATGCGACCAAAGCGTTCACAACTTAGTCACTTGTGCTTAGTTCAAGTTTGCAGAGAAAACTCCGTGCACGACATCGGGTCGCCCTCCATCCTTCAGCCAGTTTCAAGTGCAAAGAACAGGATGTTTATGGTAGTGGGTAGACCACCTAACGCCTCGTAAGGAGACATTCTTTGGCAAGTTAGCTGAAATGTAACTACCTAACGGGTTTTGTTTTATCACCCCAATCTTCATGACCAAATTTATCCCGTAAGTGCATTGTTTTTGCTCCCCTCCAGTATAATTTTCTGCAGTAGATTGGCTAGATCGGTGGAAAACAGCAAATCCATAAACGCCGCGATCTCTTGCGATACACGACACATAAAATGCCCTTTCGGAAGCACCATGCGACACATTTAATATTTAGAGAAATGAATAGCGATTCCTATTACTCAACTTATCCCCATCAAGTTTTATAACTCATTTTAGAAATTTCCATTGCAACCCCTACGTTTTAGCAAAAGCAGTCGGGGTCATTTTTTTCCTAATTGGAGAGAAATGCGTTAAAACTATTTATCATCAATCAATTGGAAGAAAAGCAAAGTAAATTCAACAGAATTAATGCATTTTTAATTCCACATGCCATAGCAGAATCTGCCCTTTAAATGTATATGCAAATAAATCAAATAAAAAAGGATGATTTGTTTGAAAACTACAAAAAAGAACCATGATAGATGGAAAATGTAGTGTAATGTAAGGGATCAAAGAGGAGCGAGTGAAAGAGGAAGTAGGGGATGGAAGGGGCGAGACCAATAAAGGCTCAAGATGAAGAGATGGTGACTAGTAGAGAGCGAGGGCCATGCATACCCGCGAGGGGATGTAGACGTACATGCTGCAGCGTCGGTTGTCCCACCCCTCCTCTGTGGTCGGCATAGCCATTAAGTCATCGACACGATTGAAGCCGCCAAACTCCTCTCGGTCCGAGTTCAGGATGATCTTGTAGCTGCACGCGTACATGGGTTGGAAGAGAGAGGCAACATGTTAATCGATGGCTCCCAATGATGGTGCAGGCGAGGCAAGGGCAAATAACAACACGAGCTCACCTTCCAGGGGTGTCAACGCCGATGCGGTAGTTTGTGAAGCTCGTTTGTGGGTGAAAATTGAACACAAACAGTACACCAGCTCGCTCAAACACAATCACCTTGTCGTCTTCGTGCTTTCTGCTAACGTAGGCCTAGAATAAAATGTGCAATCAGTGGAGGCTCAAATGCGTCAGTCTACACTAAAAACAAGATTGCAAGGCCTCATACTTCTTGGTACTGATAATAAGGGGCGAATGTATTAATTGTAGTGGAGCATGACACAGTCCCTCAACTTTTTGCTTAGATACATTTCCAAAAAGGTAGAGGTAGATGTAGGTATTAAGTGAAACCAGGTCAAAATTAAGGCATAAACTAAGTAAAAGTCGCATTTTATCAAATGAAAACTCAAAAGTTCATGTACGCAATTCCACTTCCATCAAAAATAGGTAAAATGGTAAAAACGATGTCCTTTTTGTCAGTTTTTAGCTAAATATATGTAAAGTGGCTTCTAGGCCGAAATTTTCGTAAGAAATTCTTATCCACAAAATAAATCAAATTTAACTAGGGCAATTTTCGGCTATCCTATGGATCGTACCATCACGATGTTTTCAACAAAAGGACCAAAAATCCCACGCCATTCGGTATCACTGAAAATTGAAGATACACTTGAGCCGTTATCACGATTAAAATAACGAGGTAATGTCAGTAATTTGCATAATAAGTCTACTTTGCTGTAGTTATAACGAAATCTCGCGTTGAAAAGCTGAAGACTTGTTAAAGGATGGGCTGGTCAATGGATGCGAAAACTGGCGAATAGATAGAGGGCTGGATAGATGTAGAAATTGATGAATTGAACTGATAGATGGATAACAGTAACTGACCTGAGGAGCGCTGAGCCAGTGGTACTTCTCCTCCAGGTGTTGCATGGCACGATCCCAGTTATTAAGAAATTTGTACTTGAGCAGGGGATCGTCGACGAGATGCCACTGCCGACGCGCATAATGGTAACTGCTGTTGTTACCTTGTCGTGGGAAGTCCAGCCACTCCGGGTGACCAAACTCGTTGCCTGTGTGAAGAGCAGAGGCACCGCTTCAATCCTCGAATCAACCTCCGATCTCCCCTCTGATCGCCTTCCCCTTTCCCGTCATTCCATTTACACTTAGTTTATATATTTTTTCGCATTTTAGTAACCACAAGGTTCATTCACTGAGCAAGTGATTTACATTTGTTGATATTTTATAAATTATTCCGGTAACTATTGATCTAATGGAATATTTTTAAGTACTAAATAGTATGAAAAGGAACAACCCTTTATTGTGTCGAGTAGATACGCTCGACAACCTCAATCCCACAAACCACTGTAACTTACCCTAAAATAGTCAGCATTAATAATTGAAATGGGCCTAACCAAAAAGTTCTTTGAAAAAAAGTATGGTTTTAAATCTTTTGTGAACAACGAAGTTTTGGATAATATGCTAGCTCTTAAACATGCTTAGGCGTGCAAGTCGTTAGTTTTCACCATTTTCAATATGGTATTTTGGAGCTTATACTGGTTACATGGATTGCATCGGTTTAAAAGCATTGCTAGTCGTGGTTGCGGATGGACCCGATAGACGCAAAAGTGATGACCGACTGGTAAGGTCATTCTGCCTGTGACTCACCCCAACCCGCCAGCTGAACACACTCCTCCCCAGTTTGAGAAAGTCACGACCGATGCATTCTTTGGACAGGCGGGAAAAACAGAATGACGCGTTATAAGGGCATATTTTTGCATTTTGAATATCGACTTAGCAACCCTTGGACTATTCCTTACCACTCTGCAGTCAGAGGTTTTGATACCAATATTTGAGCATGATTCAGCCCTTGCGATCACAACATGGATTTGTCCCCAAATGGTTCACTAGGATAAATGGCAGCAGAACAATCATGTATGCCACCATCATCCACTTCAAAAAGCGTACATTCTCAAGCAGAATTAAAGCAGTGCACAGCATTCTATCAGCCCGCCGACGAAAGTGGGGCGTAGCCGATTCAGTAATAGCAGTGACTGTCCCTACTTTTTTAGTAGTGCAAACATGAGCTGTTTTCTTACGGTAAGCAGTAGGAGAGGCACCATACACCAAGCTTTCCTAAGCTTGTTGCCTACAAGATGATTTTAGACATCTCTAGCATCAGACGTCCACATGCTTTGCCTTCTGGAGGCATTGCACTTTGGATTCCCACTACAGACACCGACAACGGTAGCATATGGATTAGGCGAATCGAAGATGCTAGGAAAATACAGGAATCAGCACGCAGCAAATGCGCTGATTCTAGTAGAGCATTTACTGTTGGTGGTGGTGGTGATTGCCGTAACCCACTGCAATCACGCATATACACATACACCTGATCATGACAGCAGATCGGATAGCAGAGAAAAGAAATCCCAAGACCTGCTAATCTACTAGCCTATATTAGTTTATCTTTTTTTTTCGCGGCAGACCAAGCAATACAGTGAAGAAAAGATTGCATCGAAGAAGAGGTTAGAGAAATACGCACCCATGAAATTGAGATATCCCTCGCCGCCGAGGGCGTGGGTGATGAATCGTATCATCTTGTGCAGCGCAATACCCCGATCAATGATAAGACTGGGATCAGAAAGAGTACTCATGTGGGTGTACATCTCCTTGTCCATCAGCCAGAAGGAGATAGTCTTGTCGCCCACCAGTGCCTGGTCGTGGCACTCTGCGTAGGCAATGTTAGCCTCACCCCACCGTCGGTTCGTCAGGCTGTGTACTATCTTCCCCATGTCCCAGTCCTCATCCGAGCGTTTCTTTAAAAACTACACATTCGCACAAAAATGATGGCTTTCACATACGGGGAAATCGCATCTGTTTGCTATCAATGCGCAAATCGCTCCAAAAAAAGCTTGCAAGCAGTACATTTGCGTGAGATTCCGAACCAACAGAGAAGTTTCAACAACTTTGCAAGTTACCATTCTAGAAGTATGCTTCGTAAAACGCTTGAGCACTGAAGTGGCTATGTATCTATAATGAGTACTAATACAAAAATTTCGTTGCTTAAATCCAAAAATGGTAGTTTACACTAAATAACTTGGGAAGGTAACTGCGGTCCTCAATGATATAAGATAGAAGCCTTCACGACTCCACACAATCCGCTTCCAGTGCCATGATGCATGATTAAGCAGGTGGTTTAAGAATAAACCAATGAAGCATGTCGTGCATGGGGTCCGTTACATCCGGGTTACGGAGGTACGTTGCACTTATGGAAATTAAAACTAATATTAACACACACCATATATAGGTGATAGGCACTAGTGACCACTTCATAGTGTGATATTGAGATGGTTTGCAAGCCGATAAGCGAAAGAACATAAATACGAATTGACGTAAGTAAGCAATTCCCAATTTTCACTCGCAAAAGCAGGTACAAGGCATCAAAAGTACCACAAAGAATAACCGAAGAATTGTGGATTGTTATTCAAACGTGCTAATTTATGGTTCAATTGCAGAATTTCAGTCTTTCAGAAAAAAAAAATAGTAGTCAATGCTACGTCAGCTAATGAACTTGGTCACTACAGCTTGATAATGCGCATGGATTCATAAAGCACGAATAACTGTTCAAGAAGTTCAAGAAGGTAAAACGATGCCAGTGTAAAAAACTAGTTGTAATAAAGAATAAAAGATCTCATTTACCTGGAACTAACTATTAATAGTTCAATATACAATGTTGAAAACAATTCGGGGTGAAATATATGGCATGGACTCAGCATTTAAACTTGCTTCCTCGTCCTAGATTATCATGGAGCCTGAGCTGGCGTAGACATCGTCACGTCTACCCTACCATCACTAACACCATCAAGGCCTGGAGTTTGCGTTGTTTACACCAAGCATTCATCACACCACAGTTGACTGCATTGTAATACCGACGTGGGTTCCACGGAATATTTACTTTGTGTAAAGGTCACCAGACCCTAGAATCTACATGATCACGCCTAGTAACGGTGTCAGAATATGAAAATGCAACAAATTAAAATCTGAGTTAAATGTGATCCTTTGAGTGGGTGACCAATGGTAAGCGGTGAAGGATGTGGTGCTTACCGCAATCCAGAGATCGGGAATGGCCATGGCGAGACGGTAGTCGAACCCCGCACCTCCCTCGTCCACGGGACGACACAGAGTGGGCATTCCACTGACCTCCTGCGTTGAAAAATAGTCAATACAGTCGCATCTATTGACATCAGCTTTTTAGCACATTACAATTAGCTTCGGTTTTGATCTGAATTTGTTTAAACTAACATTCCTAAAGATTGATCTTTCGACCATATAGTGGCAATGGAGAGCAGAGAATTTGAAAGCGGAGAACTCTCAAAATTCCAATTTTAGCCTTGAGCTCTAACCTACAGAGGTATTCAAACAAACCAAATACCAATGCCCATGGAAATCACGTACGCACTTTTAAAATGACGTGTAGTAGGCACAAATGGCATGCTATCCAAAATATGTCACACCAATCTTTTTACTTTAATCGCAACTCCAAAAATGATAATATATTTTCTCAATTTTGCTACTTATATGGTTTGTCTAGAGCTAAATGAAATCTAACGCACCTCCGCAATGGTGATAACAAAGGGATACTTCTTGTGTAGGAAGCTATTGGCTAGCATGAGGTAGGTCCACGACTCCGTATCCACCGACAGCCCAAAGTACTCGCCGTAGGATCCGGAGAAATTGGTGTTGAGGCCGTGATGATGGTAGATCATCGACATGACGCCGTCAAAACGGAAACCATCAAAGCCATACTCGTCAATCCACCACCGCAGATTCGAAAGGAGGAAGCGAAGTACTTCCAACCTGGAATTTAAACACCGTAATTACTTAGACAGTAATCCAACTTAGTAGTCACCATGGTAGATTTATGTTTGTGAACAAGCAACCAAAGATTTAAAAACCCCTACAATTCCACGAAGTTTATAAACATAACTGCATCATGGGATCAAAATTATGAGTAAATCATTGGCATGCCTAGATAGGTCTTAAATATGCCGTCGTAATGAGAATACTAGTGTGACTTCTAGAACACTTAATACTACGTTATAAAAGATTAGTCAAACGTACTCAGTGTAATTGAAGAGACGCGAATCCCAGAGCTGATGAACTCCTCTGGCATGCGCATGAAAGTAGCAAGAGTCTGTTCCATCGAACTGATTCAATCCATCCGCGGTATTCTTAGAGGCATGACTGTGGACCACATCGAGAAAGACAATGATGCCCTGGCGATGACACTCATCCACCAGCTCCCTCAACTCATCCGGTGTGCCATAGCGGCTGGAAGCAGCGAAGAAGTTGGTCACCTGGTAGCCGAAGGAGGCATAGTAGACGTGCTCCATAACCGCCATCAACTGGATACAGTTGTAGCCTAGGTCGACGATCCTCGGCAGCACCTTGTCCTTGAACTCCAGGTAAGAGCCTACCTTCAACTCCGACGTCGCGATGCCAACGTGGGTCTCGTAGATTCGCAAAGCCCTTGGCCTAGGCGGATGGGAGTATTTGAATTCGTAGCGCTGCAATACAGTCAGGTTTCGTGAAAGTGAGCCTACCGAAGGTGGATTGTAGAATACTTGATCATATACTATGTTCTTGTCAAAGTTTTTCACGTAAGTCGCCCACGGGCTGAGACGATCATGCTTGGTTCCATCTGGGCCAATAACTAGAAGCTAAAAAATTGAGAGAATAAACAGCAAACCAATTACCTTGACTTTCGAGAGATGCGGTATCACCGGTTTCCCATCACCAGAAGTCGGTGGAATAACAAGTTCCCACTTTCCAAATTCCATTTTTTTGAAAGGATACTCAAATTCATTCCAATTATCTATTAAGAATATATTCATTGCGATTCCCAGAACAAACTGAAATCTCCCCGAAGATAAATTGCTTTGGCTCCTGGGGCCCATTCGCGACATCTAATGGCTCCATTTGGATCCACGTGGGTCCCAAATTGTTTGTATCCTTGAGTAAATGATTCCATTCCACCTACGCTATCTATCCATTTCTGATAATCCTCGAAACACTTGTATCTAAAAATTAAACAATACGTGGTCCAAGCAAAGTCGATTGTGGCGGAGTCTATCAAAATAATATCTCAAAGAAGGTACCTACGAATGTACCCACTATATGCACTGTGAAAGTGGGAACTCATGCCCACTTCCAACGTGCTTCAGCTGACTTCTGCCATATAGCAATATCACGAATCAATTAGTTTTAAGATGTTGAAAAGTATTATGAAATAACGAGAAGACGAGGCATATATAGTTACGAGGTCAATTAGTCAGATACTAGGAAATACCTTACCCTCAAGCATGAATTATAGTCAGAACCCTTAAAAATATTCTCCAAACTCAGAGACTTATCCAATAATACCGAAACCCCAACCTCACAAACAAGTAATCATATGCAATTCCAGAACACGATATAAACAACACCTACCTCCGTTTGATTTCATACCTATACGGTTCTAGCCACGGATCAAGTTCAAATAAATGCTCCTCGCTGGGAATTTTAACCGCATTTATTTCTTCGGAAGTGTAAAACATGGTACCTTCGAAAGACTAGGAGAAGCTACACTGGTCTACCTTGCCGTCAATCCGCCTATTTACCGGATTAGATACATGTCAAGTATTATAACAAAAACATCCTGAAAAAAAATTATAAAAACTCTGCATGATACTTCAGTCAAAAGGCTGAAATATTTTTGCCACACAGACGGAATATTCTGAGTCCGCAAAAATAAACCTCACCATATATATCATCAATGTGCGCGTTTGTCAACCATGCAATTTACTGTTTGACGTCATTTTTTGGACCTTAAAATACATTACACTCCATAAAACATAACACAAACAAAAAAAATTTTGGGGACTTGTTTGGGTTAGTTTGGCTCTAATCCTAAGCAACTGCATTTAATTCTCCAAATGTTCTCTTGGGTCATAATATTGAAATGCTTTAATTGTTTGCTTACCCCTCGGTTTTAGTAAAGGAAATACTTAGGCCCTCCGTCATTGTATGTTGCCTGAATGAGCCTGCCTCTGGGCCATGCCAATAGCCCCAATCCCCTCTGCATGCTGAATATATGCATATTCTGCCTGAGAATTCTGTCAACTTTCGGCTTCTGGGAGGTTGGAGGGCGCTGCATTAATGGCAGTGGGAATTGAACTCGATCTTAAAGGGCATCTGTCCAGATTTCTGCTGGGTGATAAGTATTAGCCTAGCGGAAAAGTGCATATGCTGCGGATAGAAGAATCTGTGATGACCCCTATCAGAAGGGCTGAAAATGATGCCTACCTTCGGCAACTAGCTCAGTTTGGTGTTCTGAAGCGACATTAACCGTGAACCATCTGGAAAAGTTCGTTACAGTCCTGTGTTTTGAACATGTACGATGACATCAATTTGTAAACACGCGATATCTCCTCCACTTCTCCGCAAGCTGGATAAAACAGACGGATATGACTGGTCATCTCTGAAGTGAAAACGACGTGGAAAGGAGGAATCAAAACAAAACCCTACCCCAACAGAACTATATTTGGTCTTGTCTTTCGCTGCATGACTCTGCTTTTAGACTAGTGTTCTTACCGCTGGCTATGGATACTCCAGATGGTCAGCACATTCCCTGTCTCCGAACCCAGTTCTCATATAGGACGAAACTTCAGATCCAATAGAATTGCAAAAGGCATTATTGACACTGCGGTCAAGTATCTTCCTAATAGGATGGAAATCCGAGTATGCTGTGATGGCCGACGCGGAAGGTTGTATAAGGGTAGTGCTGGGCAGGACGCTCAAAGGAAGCGAGGAGCTATGTAATGCGTTAGTTGTTTGTTTAACTCTCTATTTTGGTAAAAAACAGGCCAATTACGGACTCTGCCATTGTGTCTCCTTCAGAGGGGCTGGTCTCTTTCCCATGACAGTAGATCCAAGTCCTACTGGAAGTATAGGGGTGCTGGAGTAAGCTATACTAATATGGGGGGCTTATTATTAACAAAGAAGATGTAATGCCTTCAGTATGAGTAGAACGCCATGGTACCGATTAGACTACGAAGACTAGAAAGCCTTCATTCTCAAGTGTACGATAATACGGATGCTAAGCTCACTTTTACTTAGGTGGGGGTGAATTAAAATGAAAATTCTATAACAGTATTTCGGCCTTTATTGACATGATAGCCACAATGTCACTTACTAGTTGATTACCCATTTTACGTCATCCACTCGTTATCAATATTTTTAGAATGTACACAATTTGCACCTTTTCGATGTGATTCAATTAATTGTAATGCCTCTGTCGTGCCCATAGCCTTTCCAGAAGTCGTAAGAATTCATGGGATTTTAGCAGAAAGTACAGTACCGACGTACAAAAGGCATGAGAGGCTCCTGACGTGGTCGGGTAGACATGTCGCCCAGCGAAAGTACGGTCTTCAGAGACCTACGTACCCACCCAATCAAACGCAGAGTCAAATGCACTATCGAAGCATTAAAGAGCCTTTCTCTTTTGAGCATTGCCTTTAATGCTCCCCTTGGTCATTCTCCTGCGTAGGCCATTGCAGTATGGTCGGTGCTTAGAAAAACCACCTGCAAACCAGTCGCAAGTCAATGAATTCACGCACAATTGATTCCAGTGTCGCTATTATATGTTGGTAACTCCACTAGGACTGTCGTTTCGATCATAACAAAGAGTCTTTTTGACAGCTCACCCTGTGTGTGATCCCAAACAGCTGTTCCAATCTAAGATAAGGACTTTGGTCTTTCGCTAGATCAGTCTTTCATTTCTGATTCATCAATCTTTTAACCAGTCCTGACTGACGACGTGGGTCTTTAAGTTTGTTTTAGCTAATAAAGGAAGTAGGTTGAATTATTGAGTACGAGGTTTGAGAATTTAGAAGTAAGTTAGTAACAATTTCTAGAAATATTCATTGCAATGAAATTCATCGCCACTAAAATAATTTACTTACAATCAGAAAAAAATCAGAATTCTTCAAATATTGTGAAATTATTTTCTGAGGCCTTCTGATCTGCATTTTCCTGTACTGAAGGTCTGGGCGTCATCGCGTAGTCGTAAGGTGGGGAGAGCTTTTGCTCGAAGAGACCATCCCAGTCTATGCTGACGAACCACGGATGGTTTCGAATCTCCCGCGGGCCCTCCCTCGCCAACGATCCGTATCGTCGGGACACCTCGCGCTGCAGCAACTGTCGCAATAGGTGACGCAGCAATTCACCTATGCGTACCAGCCCACTCGCGATGACATTCCCCAGTGGATCGCATCGGGGATCGAGGATCTTGGCGTAAGTGTTGGCAACATCACGACTGACAAACGGCGACGCACCGACAACCATCTCGTAGAGCAGGATCCCAAAAGCCCACCAATCCACAGAAAAACCATATCCACGATGCTTTAAAATCTCTGGTGCTAGATACTCTGGTGTCCCACAAAAGGTGTACGTCCGATGGATCACAAATTTTGCAAAACCGAAGTCAACCAACTTCACATAGCCGTTGTGAGAAATCATTATATTCTCCGGCTTTATATCACGGTGAATGATTTGCAGGTGGTGGAGATACTCCAAGGCCAAAAGCACTTGTGCCCCGTAGAATCGGGCTAATCGTTCATCGAAGCGATGCAAATGTCGCAGCATTGAAAAGAGATCACCACCTGGCACGAATTCCATCACTAAATAGAGTCGTTTCAAATCCTGAAAAGCATAGTTGAGCTGCACAATAAAGGGCATGTCGCACAGAGCCAAGATAGCGCGTTCGTTGTTGACATGGGTGACGTGACCCTTGCTTATGACAAACGCCTTCAGCAGTATCTTGGCGGCGTGCCAGGTCTGTGCTGTTTTGTGTCGAAGGAGGCGTACCTCACCGAAGCCCCCACGTCCAAGCGTCTGGTAGAAGAAGAAGTCAGAGCACTTGCTCACGGGTAGTTTTGGCGGCTGCAAGCGGTGGTTGGCCTTGTCGCGCTTGACCTCCACCAATTCGTCAATTCGCCTCCTCTCTGCAGTCAAAAAATCCACCCAAATAGAAGCACCGGAGCTCCCGATTGACCGCATCTCCTAGCCGGAGTTAACGAGAGCAAGCACTTACGCTCTCTGTGCTAGAGTATGAGACTGACATAGAGAGAGGGAGACGTACGTAACCAATCGACCTTTGCCCAATTAACTAATCATCTTAATCGTATGCGTGTGTGCGACCAGGTACCCACAATAGACCCAGACTCATAGATGGACAGTGAACAATATTGAGCTGTGTGATACTTTGCAGCATTAAAAAACGATTTGTTTCCTCGACCTTGGCAAGTAAGGTAAAATGCACCTGCAATATCTCAAAAACAATTTGTTCCAAGGCCGGTAATAAATTCGAAGTTTAAGCCATTTTTTCACAAGCCCCTGATCTATGGAGGTGGTAGTTCTCACAAAATGGACCGAAAAACCCACCTTCGGGTCAACAAGAAGCACAAGGAAATCTTGACTTCCAATCCGAATTTTGATCAAATTTAGCTGGTACAAACTACCACAATTTTACACGATAATAACTACTAATTCGATAAAAATCCCCATTCAAGTCGACATCTTATGAAACCAAGAACTCTAAAAACTTTGCCGTGAGTAACTTAAGGCAGTAAATGGTAAGTTGCATGATACTGTATGCCAGCTAAAATTCCCATTCACCCACTGTTTATACATGACCTGGGACAGTGATGTTACTGACCTCCTCCCTTTTTTATATTTCAGGGATAGTGCTTTATGGAAAGCAAACATTTTCCTAGATACTTCGGGGTCAGATTCTAACAAACTTTCAACCGGTGTCCCATAAAGTTACAATCACGTTTTGCGATATCTTCTTTGTACAAATTCAGGATAATAGATGACCAGATCTCAATTGAGGTAGAATCAAGTGCATTCTTCCTCTGAGAATACATAGAGGAGACTAGTTTAAGGTGCAAATGGGCAATCTGACTCACGCTACTTTATTATCAAAATTCCTTCTTAAAAGGCTTCCTTCAGATGGCCTTGGAGATACCTAAACTGCAGTGGTTTAACTTCATCGCACATTAAACAACAGTTTACGAGCGTTTCGATCTTACGTCGAGTAGTAAGTACGACAATCAAAATCGATTGAGCTATGTACTAGCCGTCGACTAAGAATACCTTGAATTCAATAATATTCTACAGAATATTTACGAAAGCAGGCGATGCAGCATTATTTCCTGATATTTTCGGTAATATATAAAAATGCAAGGGTGTAAATGACTATCAAAACGTCACAAAGTTATCAGAGGTGATTCCTCCATCTGCATTCTCCTGATCCCATTCATATAAGGCCAGAGAACACAGGGTATATCAATGCTCCCGTCCTGTAGCAATGAAAAAGCGATTTGGATTAATTTTTTAAAACGTACTAATTAGTAATAATATAACACATTCTAGATCGGTGGCAGAATCAGAGCATGTTTCAGGTCTCAGGAGATGGAAGGCGTGATTGGCATAAGCAGAGTCATTGTATATATATATATATATATATATATATATAAGTGTGAAAGTCATTTGACCCGTTAATTGGTCGTTATTTGACCCAATGAGTGAAAACATCCCAATTTATAAAATATATCTTACAGAGTTCTGATGTGTTTCAACAAGGGCCTTTAGAATTCGCGTAACAGCACAGCCGGTCCCATTTAACTAACGAAAATCAGAAAATAAAAACAACAGGTCGTAGTTGCATACGAAAAACTAGAAGAGTTAAAAACAACTCAACACAAGAACCTACCGTGTAAGCGTAAGGATGACGCTTCGCTGCAGAGTCCTGCTTCCAAAGGATGTTCAATCGAATAGCTTGATAATCAGTGCAGTTTGATGTGCTCGAAATCTGAACTACCAAAATACACTACTTGTGACTTTTCCTCATTCCCATGCCTGAACAACACTTGATCGGTAAACACTCCGCTGAATTGTAAGATAAAAGACCACCAAAAAATGATATCAAACAGTTCACCTGGCAGCATTCCTAAAAACTGAGGCAACAGTTATTGAATGTAAAAGGCTCCTAGGTCTAAACATGACTGCACTAAGGACATGCCACAAATACCGTTACCTCCCCAAATATTCCTTCACCGGGCATAAGCGCCTCGATGTCAATTTTTCGATGAGCAGAGTTACCGAGCTCGCTTGTGGGCATCTCCAGGACACTGGAGAAGAGTTAAAAAATAATCTCATTCAGATAATTCACATCCAAAGAACAATTATTTTAGGACTAATAATACCAAAGAAATTCCCTCTTGAAAACTAGGCACCAATCTTTAACGGCTAACACAAACAAACCGGAAGTGTAGTTCGAGATCTGAATAGAGTTTCTTTTGGAATTCAACAATCCTTTCAAAGACCTTGTCCCCGACTTCCGGAGAGGGTTCGGTCACACAAAATATTTCCACCTAAAAACACACCTGGGCTGTTAGAAAGGACAACATCAGCATGATACAATCCAAAAGAATGACGAGAGACACACTTTGGTGAATTGATGCGTCCGATAAAGGAGAGACTCCTGTGGTGCAATCTCATGACGGAAGCAGCGGCTGACTGCACAGAAGAACTCCGCCTCGGCGGTCCCCACCTCACCAAACACACGGTTCGCACAGAATGCTGCCAGTGCCATCTCTGCTGTCCCCGACAGAGAGAATAGGGTTCCATTGCCAACACCACTTCCCTTTCGTTCGGCAATATTGAATATCTGTAGACAGAGGTGTCTACAACTTAGAGTATCGTTCAGCGGCCCAAGGACAGACAGCCAGACCATGAATTGCAGCCAATTTTCAAATGAAAAGTTTCATAAGCAAAAAAAGCCAAATCAGATACCTGGTTCCTATCACCAGTGGTGGGAAACCCGCAGCGTTGGATGACAGAAGAGAGGAGAAGGTCAGGAACCGCGATAAGTTGGAATCCGGCTTCGCGGGTCCGATTAAGGGTGAGTTGGAGCAAGGCGGCTTCAAGGACGGCAAGGCTATCGTAGAAAGCATAGGCGCGGGAACCGCAACCAGCCACAAGCGCTCCCGACGACCTCAGCGTTCCATGTCCTGTTCTACGAGCTCGATTTCCGCATCTGTGGGGAACGACTTCGTTCGACAGTAAGTCAACCTCGTTCTTCGGTTGTGATACTTCAAAATAAGGTACAACAATAGTGCAATTACTTGTTCTGCCTAAGCGGAGAAATGAGGAAGTTTAAAAGCGTACGCACTAAGTTTTGGTGAACCATGGAGATGGAGAAGTCGAAACTTGCTGGGATCTCCTACGGGCTACAAATGAAGAGGTGCATAGTTATAATGAAGAGTGATGTACTCACTGTACTTGGGTGGCTAAAATTCGGTAATGAAAGGTAGAGATGCTCTATCCTAGACTGGAGATCTTTTTCGCCGTTTTGAAGGCGCTGATAAAGTGAAAGCTAAAATGTGGAAGGCAAAAGAATTAAAGCAAATTCCACACGAAGGGATGCAAGTTGGGGAGACTCGACACCTACCATTTCGTCTAAATTCGCCTCGGAATTTCGCTCAATCAGGTTCTGGCGCATGCGTTGAATGAACTTGGCACAGCCCAATTGGTGGAAATCACCCTTCGTGCCCTGCACGAAGGGTGATAATACGGAGGCAAAGAAACGGCGACCACCACTTGGACTCCAGATATTCCCTGCCGCAGCCCGGAAAATCGACTGCACAACTGACAGAATTGTACCGGAGTGCTTAAATTCGATATAAACAGCAGATAGGAATTAACACATCTCAGCGATACTCATGGTAGGTAGATTATGAAATTCTAGGCGAAATACACTAAAAAATACAGAGCCATAAGCTCTAAAAGCCGGCCCTTTGATGGTCAGCCTCGTGAACAAAAGATGAGCCATAAATCAATCCCACGGTACCCCTATCCAGCGCTTGTACATCAATGGTTGGAAATCTCGACTAATTTTTAGGCGTGTTTTGGATCGGAAACGATACAGGGCAGTTAATTTGATTGGTAATTAAGTTTAGACTGCCAATCAAGCGCTCAGACGCATTCACATTTTTTGACGCAGTGTCCACGGCCTCACCAACCCTTTTGCCCTCCGAAAAGTAAACTGCAAGAGGTAGGACTCAAACATCCAGTTTCCACAGATGATTCTGTCAGGAGGAAACAGCAACATCTTCAACAGCACCAATCCGTTGTGCCTCATTCTAGAGTACATCAAGTTTGGGTCTGGTTACACTCGCGACGATAGTATTTTTAAACACCATCAACCCACTATGTGCTCCATATTAGCTGTTGGATAGTCGTTTCAAGTTGTCTTTGATGGGTACCTACTAAAATCCTGGCATTCAGCATTTTATCCTAGATGCGGTACTTTGAGAACAGTTATCATTATAAGGATTGGATATCCATGACCGAACAGATTTTCCAAGATTATGCAAAGGAAAATTTACCTCAGTGCTTTTAATGTCCAGACTGGACCATATCAATGTCTGAATTACACTCTACCAAAATATTCATATTCCGTGTTAGAGCGGTAAAGCACATTATTCCAGGAAGCGCTAAGCAGATGCGAGTCTAAAGAGCACACACTAAGATGCTTATTCAACAGAACCAAATACACATACAAATCCGATGCTGAGGAGCCATCACTTGAAGAGGTATGAACCAACTTAGAAACGGAAGAATGGATGCATTTTTGATCAGCTTACTGCATCACTGCACCGCGCATTTTAAGAAAGGTGTTTTATAAAATCGGATACTCCCTGACCGTCTCCTAGTAAATTCAACACTGGGATTTGCAATTAGAACTGGGGAAGGGTATGTACTGAGAAGGTAAACAAGGTTCATAAATATAAAATTGGTAAAAAATTAAAAAATCTAGGAGGCCTCCTACAGACTAAAAAAAGCCGATTCACCACTCCAAAAGCCGAATCAAAGAATCTAGCATTTTATTAAATTCCCTTGCAATGTACACGAAATTGAAAAGTATCATGTTGCATCACCTAAGTCATTCAGAGCAGCATTAATGGTGCCGTTAAGATCCGACAACATTTTAGTGACTGCGGCAAGTTCCTCCTGAGGCTCATTACCCACGCACTTATTAATGGCCGACTAAAATAGAGTAGAAAAAGTAAAGAGGCAAAATCGGTCCTTGAGTCATGCGAACTACCAAGTTGTTTTAGAAAGGACAATGACCTTAAGTCTTGCGATGTACACGTTGATATTCATTCTAAGAGAGGAGAGAGCGGAAGTAATGAAGAGCTTCATCTCTGGATCTGATGTAAAGTTGTCCACGCAGCCGGTGGAAATGAGAAGCTTCGCCATGGCTTGCAGGTCCGCCAGAAGCTCCTCTCGCGCAGTCTTATTGAATTCCCAGTCCGGAGTCGCAGATCGGAGGCGGCATTGATAGGACCGTTGGATGTACTGAACCGCCTGTAAGGTTGAATATAATCTAGTAATCGGCGAATCATATTTAAAAAACGATCAATTAGTGCAGAAAAAACCAACAGTCGGTTAGGGCAAATGCCTCAAATTGCCACGAATGCAACAACATTAGAAACAAATCGTTATTTGACAACAGATGTAATAAGACAAGTGAGCAAAACCCACTCGTTGGAATTGGACAGGGCCCGCTTCAGCATTAGAATCAAGAATAAGATTCGCATAGTATCGCCAGGTGTCCGCATCCGAGGGGTTCTGGAAAACAGAGGCGTAAAAAGTAACAGCCACAAACTGGTAGGGAACGGAAAGGACCAGTCAAACTCACGGTAGCCGTGACGCGACCAAAGAGGGTGAGGAGGTCTTTGCGGTACCTAGCAGCGCCGCAGTTCTTGCTGTCCGGTAGGTTTTCAGACACCGCCTTTGTGAGCATGCCCAGAACCTGCGAGTCGATGTGCTTTTGGCGCAGGTCAATCAGGCGATGGTAGGCGCTGATCACGTCCCCAAAGGAGCCCTCATCCATACCAACCTGAAGCAGAGGCAGCGAGCCCTCTCTTTCAAGAACATATTCTACGCTGACGTCCAGGAGAAAGATGGTGGTAAATGGAACACAACACTGACCAGCAAAATGTTCTCCCAAATTCTCCATGAATCGAAGTTCCATTTGGTAGCCTCTTTCAGCAAGGCCAATGACTGTGCTCTAAAGTAGATAGGCGAGTAAAACTGATAAAGCTGTCTTTAACCGCGTACGTGCGTTAATTTCGTGGAAATTTGATAGAAAACGGTCACCAATTTTTATTCTCACTACTAGTAGAACCCAACCAGCGTACCTTCTACGGTTTGCAAAATGAATATCGATCACAAAGACACCTCACCTGCGTCCACTAAAGATCACCGCGCTTGCCAAATTGTTCCAGGCTTCGAAATTCTGGAATGAAATAAATCTCCATTAAAATGAATTAACTGAGTGTTCTGGCACTATTTGTAAGGACAGAAAACTACCGACCCCTACCCATTTCGGCTCGGGAAATGCGAATACTGAATAAATAGCAATTTTTTTGGGAAAAAAACAATGAGCATAACTTAAACGTTAAACGACTCTTAAAATCTAGAACTTACATCAGGTTCAAGTGCGACACAATATCTGAAGGCTCTTTCAGCCTGTGGAAAGTCGTGTAGTTGAAGATAACAGCAACCGAGTGTAAACCAGAGGTTGACCTTGTTTAGGGGTGAAAATTAGGCGTGGATCGACGCAAAAACGATCACAGTATAAAATAAATACCTGAAAACGGTTTATCTCCAGGGAAGCCTCAAAGCACTCAGCAGCCTTCTTCACATTCTACAAAATAAAATGACAGGAAAAATGCATCTTTTTTGGGAAAATGGACCAAAAACTCGCAATCAAAACACCTTGTCTTTCCTAAAAGCGTAGTATCCCAGACTGCGAACGGCTCTGGCTGATCTGTGTTTCGACAGCTCCCAAGCGGTCCTGTAGTGTGCCATGTCAGAAGTCACGTCACCAAGACAACAATAGAGTTCCGGAGTCGCACATCCACTAGCAATGCGCTCACGAATCACCTCTTCAGCCTACGAGTGGAGTCCGATGATTAGCATTGGCAAAAGCAATTACTACTCACCAAGTCACGCTTGCCGAGTGAAGTATAGGAGTTAATAATTTCATCCCACTGTTGCCATCGGAGATAAATATCAAGCGCGCTTTTGGTTGAGCCGATTTTGGTGAGAACACGAGCGAGCGACAGCTAATTTTGTTGTCGTAAATTCAAATACACGCACCTCTATCTGCCACTGCGATGGCATTCGGGACCAGAAAAAGTGTTGCATGCCTCTTTGTTCTGTCTCAGGTGCTGGAGAAGAAAACTGAGCTGCTATTTCTTCAAGCTGACGAATAGCCCTTTCTGTCCTGGCTAGCGACCGCCTTTCGTATGAGCCTCGTTTGAAGAGCGCTTCAGTGAGTATGGGCCACGAAACTGCATTTTTCGGAACACTTTCTGAAGCCCCATCATCTTTTACCTTATTTTTATCCGCCCCCGCAACCGCACGAACGACGGCTGTTACGTAAGTCAGTGACTGCTCGTCGATCAAATCGTCATGTGGATGTGAACGACGGTGCAGTTCCCTACCAATCGATGAGACGAGTTACAAGGAGACGTGTGATAACCCACCCGCTACACAAAACAAATGCCTGTTCGGGGACCGAAAGCTTCGGATCCGCAGCTGCTGTAACATCCACGAATCTGATGAAATCCAATAAATTATCATCCTCAAGAGGACAGACCTAAATCCAAGTCAGGACGTGAAAAGAAACCAACTTTGGGTTGAGCGGTTGAGCCATCTGATAGAGATTGAAAAGAATTTGCGGCGTCAGTTCTCTCAACAACTAAAATAAGTTGTGACAAAGGGTTCTCTTGAGCCTTGGTCCTAGTTCCGAGCTCGGCTAGAAAAAACGCATATCTATGGTCTACATATATGATACCTGAAAACTGAACTTTCAGGCCCAAAAGACATTCACACAGCTCTTTAAAACGATGCGCTAAGTTGAAATCATAATAAAAGGCAGCCATGAAACAGCCCAGAAGGCAAAAGGAAAGGCAATCCTGGTCGCATCTAACAGCGAGATCATTCAGCTCAACTGACATGATATCAGAGAAAGTGAGAGTAGCTACCATGTTTCAAAAGTTCGTCGAGATCTGCCTTGATTGAAGGACAACGTGTTTCACCGTATATATTTTGGTATAGATAAGTAGATTTCATATGAATCACAGCATAAAAGAAGGCCTAAACCATAAGTTAACAAGAAATGTACCATAATTTTGGAAGACGTAATCATATGCCCGGAAAATTCTTTACAAAACCAGAGCAGGGATAGATTACGAACTAGGGGAAATGGCGTTTCACCATCGATAGATAGATACTTATAGGCCAAGTCGTCCATTTGGGAAAGGTCCAGAGGAAGGTCAGATGGAGGACCTACAAAGTTATTCTTAACGTAGGCACTTAAAAGGCACTCTAAAGCCTGTAAAGGAGCCAGTGAACTAGGTGAGGATGAAGAACAAATGAATAAAATACATCACTGCAAGGTCCTCGATAAATTTATTGAAGTTCGGGTTCCTCATCTCTAACCGCTTAACATATTCTAGGACTGTTGGGAGGAGTTCTGTACTCTTACTCCCCATGACGTGACAATGTTCACGGCGAGTCGAATCAGATGAAGCGCCCTTTAGTGAAGCTGCTATAATCACTTGTAACAGACTTAATAAAATGGTCACAAAAAGTTACCAATACGTGAAAGCAAAGGTCTCAACGTTGTCCATAATAAAAAAGGAACGTCGACGATTATACCCAAAATTCATGGAATTTTACAAGAAAGCGTGATACTTACTTTAGGACTTCCCCATCATTTATTACAAGGTTGCAAACAAAAAATGTTTGTTGCCAACGCTGCTTAATTTGCTTTTATTTAAGATAAAGCTTTATGAACTATACTAAGTGGGCGTTTAATTACACATTTCCTACTTCAGCGATGTACGCCTAAATTTACAAGGTGATTTCCATCTAAATATAGGTAATTTTAAATTTGGAGTTTACTTTAGGCTTGTGACTTTCGATTCACTAGTAACTAGAAAAGGCATTAAGGTGAACTTCCCCTGTTTCTCAAAAGCAAGTATTTTTTACTGTTGCCCCAAATCATCTAGATTGACCACATTTACATATGTCTTGGACTGCTTTGATATTTTCATATGGTTATGTATCTGCACTTCTTCTAGACGGGTTTCCTCGCGGGTTTCTTTGGATGAAAAATCCTCACTACAACATTGTTTTCTTATTTCCGTAAGATTTTAAAATCTAAGTTTACATTTTGCAGTCTTTATTTTTTATTTTCCAATACAGATTGTGGCCAGGTTTGAATCAACTATCGTCATTGCGGCTCATACAATATTGTTGGAACGGTGTAATACTTCAGGATGCAAAACGTTGCTGCTTCTGTAACAGATACTTTCGGAAACATGAAGTACTGTTGTTGAGGTTACGTTATACCATTTCTTTAGGCCATGGTTCCAAAAAGTTACTAATCAGGCCAAGACAACTGATTCAAAATATTTTACTACCACCAAAAAGGGTGAAATTTTTGAACTTAAAGCCGAACTACAAAGTGAGAAGAAAGAAAAGAAGAAGGAAGCGGTCAAAAAGGTTATTGCTAGCATGACCGTTGGGAAGGATGTTAGGTATCTCGCTTCATTCTGAGTTATTTCAGCGCCTTGTTTCCCGATGTGATGAATTGCATGCAAACGGACAACCTGGAACTGAAGAAACTCGTTTACCTGTACCTTATGAATTACGCCAAAACTCAACCAGATACTTCGATAATGACCGTGAGCACGTTTGTCAGGGTGAGTTGCGTAGTAAGGAAACTATTTCTTAGGATTGTGATGACCCTAATCCATTAATTCGGGCTTTGGCGGTACGAACAATGGGTTGCATTCGCGTTGAAAAAATCACTGCATATTATTGTGATCCACTGCGAAAGTGTCTAAAGGATGAGGATCCATACGTTCGCAAAACCGCTGCAATTTGTGTAGCAAAACTCTATGACATTGATCCAACACTGGTTGAGGACAATGGGTTCCTCGAGTTACTAAAGAATCTTCTGAGTGATAGCAATCCTATGGTTGTTACGAATGCCGTAGCTGCGATTTCTGAAATATTAGAGACAACGCAGTCGGATGCGGCTATAAACCTTTTGAAAATTGATCAGCAGATTGTAAATAAGCTGCTGACGGCATTGAATGAGTGTAACGAGTGAGTTCTCATTGTCAATGACTGTGGCCCCTGATCATTTTCGCAGTTACACTCGTGTAAACTACGGTTCTTCTTTCTAGATGGGGTCAGGTTTTTATTCTCGACGCCATTACGGAGTACACTCCTTCAGATGAGCGGGAGGCTCGTGGTATTATTGAGCGAGTCATGCCCCGTCTACAGCATGCCAACGCAGCAGTTGTCCTGTCTGCAGTCAAGGTGATCATTCGCACCCTCAGTTTCATTGATCCGGTGTCTGATTTAGCCCAGACCACCTCCAAAAAATTGGCACCTCCTCTGGTGACTCTACTCTCTGCTGAGCCCGAGATTCAGTACGTAGCTCTGCGAAACATAAACCTTATCTCTCAAAAGAATAAGGACCTTCTCAAACAGGAAATCAAGGTGATCCAATACTTTCGTATCTTATTCCTTGTCTTCCAGGCCTTTTTCGTAAAATACAATGACCCGATTTACGTGAAGTTGGAAAAACTCGATATCATGATCAGACTAACAAATCAGGCAAACATCGCTCACGTTCTCGCTGAATTGAAGGAATATGCAAAGGAAGTGGATGTAGATTTTGTGCGCAAGGCTGTGCGCGCTATTGGACGGTGTGCCATCAAGGTTGAGGCGTCTGCTGAACGCTGCGTCAGCACATTAGTTGAGTTGATAAATACCAAGGTCAATTATGTCGTTCAAGAAGCTATTGTCGTCATAAAAGTAAATCACCTGTGCTTTTTATCGGCTTCATCTTTACTAGGATATTTTCCGTAAGTATCCCAACAAGTATGAGAGCATTATTGCTAATCTTTGTGAAAATTTGGATACTTTGGATGAACCAGAAGCCCGAGCCTCAATGATTTGGATTATCGGCGAGTACGCAGAACGTATTGACAACGCTGACGAGCTTCTGCAATCCTTTTTGGATGGGTTTCATGATGAAAACACTCAAGTTCAACTCCAGCTTCTCACAGCTACTGTAAAACTGTTTTTGAAGAGACCCTCTGACACCCAGGTACGTAGATCTAAGTCTCCTCAGTCGGCTTTTGTATCGCCTTAAATTTCTAATGTACGTGTTTGTAATCCTTGTAGGAACTTGTTCAAAATGTCCTGGGTTTGGCCACTTTGGAATCAGATAATCCTGACTTGCGCGATCGTGGCTATATTTATTGGCGTCTTCTGTCGACTGACCCCACTGCAGCGAAGGAGGTCGTTCTTGCGGAGAAGCCGTTGATCTCTGAGGAGACTGACTTGCTTGAACCCTCCCTATTAGATGAATTGATTTGCAACCTTGGCAGTTTAGCCAGCGTCTACCATCAGCCCCCGAGCGCATTTGTAGAGGGCAAGCATATCTCGAGAAAGCACCTCTTTGCCACTTCAGCAGCTGCTAGTAAAGCCGGTGAGGCTGGCGGACTGCAGCAACCTACTACTACGGTCATTCCTACCCAAGAGACATTGATAGGAGATCTCTTGGATATCGATGCTGTGCCGAACACATCGATGGCACCACCAGTTGGCTACACAGGTACTCCTATCCCTGGGATCGACGTGGAAGCACCGGATCTCCTTGGTGACGGTCTTGACGACCTCCTTCCTGGTGTCCCTCCGAAAACTTCCGCTGCGGCACCAACGGGTAAGTAGGAAGCCCCTTACTTGGGTCTGCTATCTGTGTTCTTGAATTTAATTAAGCCTTTTCATAATTTACAAAGGTGCGTCTGAGTCCACCGCTGATGCGCTGGCGGATATTTTTAGAGGGATGAGTGCAGGTAGTGGGGTATCCTCAACTTTCACCGTTCCCGCTAGCCACGATCTTGCCTCCATTGTGATGACTCCTGCCGCCTCTTCTGCCTACGTTCCACCGCCTACCACATGGTTGGAGTCCTCGCGGGGCAAGGGTCTTGAGATTGCAGGTACATTCAGTGTGAGCCCCTCCACCAATCAACCTCAGATGGAACTCACCTTCACGAATAACGCGCTTTCTCCTATGACCGGATTCGCGATCCAGTTCAATAAGAACAGTTTCGGACTGGCTCCCGCTCAATCTCTCAATGTGCCCAGCCCTCTGCAACCCAAGCAGTCGGCTAAAGTGATACTACCTTTAGGATTCGGCAATCAGGTTGTGAAGGTGGATCCACTTATGAACTTGCAGGTGGGTGTGCCAATTTTTTCAATTTTTTCCCAAACCTTTATGTTCACTTTTGGCACAGTACAGTGGTATTTTTGCGCATCAATCTGCAGTCCAATTAAATTCTTTTTTTATTTAGTAGCAGTAATGACAGCAATAATTTGCAGTTTTCATTATCAGAATAGTATTTCAATAGTTTTTTGCAATAGCAGCTCTTTTGAAAGCAAATAGGTCTTGCTTTTGATATAATTGGTTTCTTTAAATAATTCAACCCTTCAGTTTACCCCTGTTTTTACCGATTCAATCATGAGTTTTGGTCGTTTATCGAGATACCTGGGTTTATCAAATGTTTTTTGGTGTTTCATACAAATAAAAGCTGCACAGGGCACTAGTTTGAATGCTGATGACATTTTCCAATAGGCTGGATCTCCTAAGTATTATACCTGTTTGAGTTAGAGGTATGTGCCTAATAAGCCGAATAATGCCTTTTTTAGAACGCGCCCTTCTAGGTTTTGCGTGCATTTCACCTTTACCTTTTAAGTACATGGCCGTCATTAAGACATTTCATGCTTATCTTGCCGAGGGAGATGGAGCTCGCCTTTTTATTTGTAGTTTGACTCGCTGATGACCGCCGCTTTTTGTTGCCTTAAAGGTGGCAGTGAAGAACAATGTGGACGTCTTCTACTTCGCCTGCCTCGTGCCCATCCACGTGCTCTTCACAGCGGCGGGAGAGATGGAGAAGATGGTTTTCCTCGCCACTTGGAAGGACATTCCCGCTGAAAACGAGCAGCAATTCGTTCTCACTCCCCTCTCTCTGGATGCGGGTGTGTTACCACAGCTTCTTACAAAAGCGTAGTCCTTCGGTCGTGCCCTAATCGGCCCAACCCTTGTCCGGTTCGATTAATGAAAGGCACCCTGTGACAACGCGCTATAAATTTGCTTCGTGTCCAGTTTTAATTATTTTTAAGCTAGCTTTTTCAAAAACAGCTAAGAGATTTGTATCTCTCTTTAGGTATATAAATCTTTCTCTTTTATCATTTTTTGCTCTTGAATCTCTATTTTCTGTCTTGCGGTGCAGTTATTCCTAGTGTTGTAGATGCCTGTTCACAGAAATTGCGCAACAATAATGTCTTCACCATTGCCAAGCGCAACGTCGATGGGCAGGATATGCTCTACCAGTCGATCAAGCTGTGCAACGGAATCTGGGTTTTGGCAGAACTGAAAATTCAACCTGGCAATCCGTCCTACACAGTGAGTGCTCCTGTCTTCCTTTCTCAGTGATATAACCTCATATTTGTTAAAATAATCACATTTTGGCATTTTATTGAGCTGATGCCTTCGAACTTTGATCATGCGACCTTTTTCTTACCCCTATCCCATTGTTTTCTTTGCTTTCTAGTTGTCTCTGAAATCGCGGGAAATGGATGTGCACCCCTATGTGAGGGAGGCATTCCACGGAATTCTCTCCAATTAACTACCACGATTTGCATAAACTCACCACCACGAATAACACTCATTCGTAGCTGTGATTTCCAGGCTTATTGCGCCCTTACAATGACCAACTACTGCGTTTACCATCCCATCTTATTGTTGTCAACCCCCCCATCATCCTATGCCTCCCCACTCTTCCTTTATCCTCTGTGGTGCTTTCTATTGTTTATGTGTTCAGCTGTTGTGGACCATTTAAAATAATAATAATTCCGCATAAAGTGTCATTTAGAACAAACGCTTTTTGGATATTACGAAATAGGGTAATAATTGGCTCGTCAGTTTTTAGTACACGAAACAATGTAAAACTATTGCCCCCCAAGCCTTGTAAGCCGTTTTGCATTAGAAGCGACTGTGCTCAACGGTTACATATAATTTTACTCCGTACTTGTGAGTAGCAAAACCGAATCTGTCCTTACATGGAATCAGTTTATTCTGATCTTAAATCAGCTTGAGTGGGGTCATGCTGCTGCTACCCATGAATATTAAGTAGGAGTTGGCAGCTAGTAAAGTCAACTACGTTAACTTCTTAGCTCAGGATAAACGGTGCATTAAGCAGTGTGGGAGGATAAGGAATAAGGTCCTGATTTTAAATGTATACCAATTTGTTCGGTTTCACCAGAATTGGGCTTTTGGCTAGGCCCTTGAGAGGTCACAATGGCCGCTTTAATAAATATCAAAACGGTGTCCTAGCCTGGGAAACAATGTCAAATCTGGATATCATATAATTTGTATATGAGTCTTGGAGAAAGCGCATTTTTGAAGAGCCCAATTGAAGTCTGCAGAAGGTTAAATTCAAAACGCGAAATATAAGACCTGTTTTTTTCACTAATGTGCCGTGAATCAGTGAGTAAGCATTGCATACTTTGCCCCCAACCATGGTTATCTCTATTTCGCACCTCAGATTGGTGATGGTGCAATGTTATGCATTTGTCTCACTTATAAATATACCCACTACTACTTCGCACACCATTGTCCGCCATGACGAAGCAGACTATGCCCCTTTTGTGTCAGCTCAATGCAGCACATGTAATAAATGAAGCCTTCAAACACCTACAGATTAAATGCAATGATACTATTATTTGTAAAAACACTTCATGAAAAAATATTTGTGACAAGTGCGCATTACATGCACAGATTACAAGCATTGACGCATTATATACATGTAGTATGTGTGCACAGCAGAGATTAAAACGATGAAAACGCGGACACAGAGGTGAGTCAAAAGAGAAAATGCTACTCGGGAGACGTTACGGTGCTTGCCTCACTCGCTCGAATTAACCAATCCCCTGTCGCCTGCGGGGAGTGACTGCGTGAGGCCTCCGAATTGGCTGTTATCCTCCAATTGAAACATTTGTACAAAGAGATCGGGAAAGTGAAGTTCGGGACGGGATTGCCGCAGATCCCGCACAGCTGCACGATGAGCCTCATTCATACTTGAGAGGCTCGGAAGGAGCTTTATTAGTTGTGTGAACCTTTCATCGCTCGAGTACCGCACTAAATCGGGGGAAATAAAGCGTTCGTCAGTGCAAACACTCAAACTTTAAGCTTACACGTCGAATCTATCACCCCTGTCCGCATTTTATGTTTTAAAACTCCAAATTCTATCTACAACTACTATCTATTAAGCTCTACCTGAACACTTTAGACTTATCCTAAATTGACTAAGCAATCGTGTCGTATGCTCATATGTTTCATGCATTCCACTTTACTTATTTTAACTAACAGTGGGCTGATTCAGTAATCCAGTTATTCAAAATGCGAGAAATCTGTTTCATTCTTCGGTATGCTCGCAGTTTTAACAAAACATTTGTGTAATTTATCATTATCTACGCATGTGCTTGGAACTTAGTTCAATGCAAACAAAATATGTAACGATACTGAAAAATGGAATCTCGGCAGATACGTTTCGTACCTGTGATGTATTGCTGAAGGGCGGAGGCGGCATGATTGTAAATTTCGTAAATCTTTTCTGCCTCAAGTAATTTCTGGTTGGCTGCAAGAAAAGCATAAATAATCAAAAGTAAAATAGGGTCTAACATCATTCGAGACGGAAGTATCAATGTATTGAATAAGTCTCAAGCTAACCCACCTCTAAACAAATTATCATTTAACTTATTGGAGGGCGCAGCTCATGATGCGAAGCCCATTAGAAATTCAACTTATGAATTTGATGGACTCTTGGTCAAGCCGAGTGAAGTATCTTGATTTATGCACTTAGTAAATTCTAAGGAATCGCTCATAGACCGTATATGGAATGCTATTTTTTTCAATAGAACAGCGAAGTATGCTGGAACTTACAGTCTTTCACTGTTTATCTCACATGCCGTTTGTATGGCTATAACAAAACTGCTTTTGCACTCGTATTCCCTTCAAAATTTCCATAGATAACCCAACAACCAAAAAATATTTTAACCTTCCTCTCGTAAAATGAACTTTTACACCTTATGTCAAAGTTTGGCTAAGTTTTGTTCTTTTCGATTTCGGGAATCTGTAAAGCTAAGTTGAAAAGAATACATTGGTAGAGAAACACTTACATCCGCGAAGGAAGATGATACTGCAGAGAAGAGCGGCCTCCGTATTGTCTAGACTTAGGGGTCCCAGGAAGCCGGTGAGTTCGTAAAAGTGGTCTACCATGGGGTTGATTTGGGGGAACTCTGCGAGCAGATGGCGTCTCTCATGGGGTGAAAAGTTGTAAAAGTTGAAGTCGCCGCCTGGCAGGGCCTCGCGCGATAGCTGCACCAACACAATGGGGTACATGGAGGCTTGCAAGAGGAACTTTGTGTCTGCCCGGGGCAGGTCGCAGAACCCAGGGATAGCGCGTGCAAAGCGAATAATCTGGTGTGCGTGTGCCTCAAACTGCACCATCATGTGCGCCCACATCGTCGTCGATGTCAACTCCGATTCGAGCAAAAAATTTCCCGTCACCTGCACGTATACCATTTTACTAAATTATTTTCAGTAAAGCATTATTAAATCGTCTCAGTTTTGCTCTTAGTATTAATTTTCAGCCATAAGAACCGGTCGGATCCATCGCACAACTTAATTGCAACTTTTAATGCACATACCCGCTGCCGACAGTTATCTAAGTGGACGGCCGCTTCAGATACATAATCGGCGAATGCTTCAAGAGACATCTCCGAGGTGAAGGATACTGACGTCTGCGGAGGCATACCCTTTCCCATTGGTGCCCCATTGTGACTCCTGGTGTCAGGTTCAAACGACTTTTGATTGGAGTAAAGACTGTTTATTGGCAGGTAGTCATCCGTTGTAAATCGATCTGAATAAAGTAAACATTTGACGTATGGTTCAGTTTGGTAAGGTTGTTCATTCCTCTTAAACTGAGAGAGCGAACAATTCGAACTTCAGTACTCTTACCCTCAAATTTTTACCAAATTTTTATTTTCAGTTAATTAACTTGGTAAATTGAATTTTTAGGGGTTAGGGTAGCCTGAACTCGTTAAGTAATTTAATCTAACATGAGATAAAGAAATACGCACTTCTCTACCGGGTCGATTATGATAAAAGGGAAAAGCGATTAATGTGCCATTTCGAAGAAATATTGCCTCCATCTAACTGAGCACTTACCTTCACCCAGGGCAAATGACTGAGCTATTGAAGAGACACCTGGCTCGTCAACCTTTCCCACCATCAGAGCGTCTACGGACAAGTGGCCTCGAGACCGATTTGCCAGTTTACCCGCCTCATCCTCAGGTGAACTGCCCCCTCCTCTCGCCATTGCTACTAAATCGCTCATCACCACCTCTGTTTGCCCCACCGCCGTCGCTGCCACTGCCTTTCTCGCAGCGGAAGTCCCATTTGCACTCTCGTTCTCTTTTTTCGCCTCCATAGGCTGAAGGCTGCTGATCCGCATGTGTCGCAGTGGCGATGGCTGCTGCAAACCATCGATCGGTGGAAAGTGTTCACCTACATGACCAGCCGTCTGGACCTGCGTCGGTCTCCCCGCTGAGATCGTCTCGTTGCTTCCACTACCGCTGCTACTGTTGCTGCTACTGCTGTTTGCTGACTGAACTTGCTTGGCCAGTCGTATGAGACTCGATAGCTGCAATGAAACCGTATATATACGTATAGAATTCGCTGGAATTATGCTCAGTGTACCGTACGCATACTCAATTGATAAAAAGTATCGTTTGTATTTTTGATTCACTATAACCAAATAAATATGATTTAAAATATCATTTACAACCATGCATTTTACTAAAGATAATTGCGTATATAAATACAACACCCTCGCAGTATCTTAAAATAAAAAATTAGAGTTTACGTTCGTTGTTTTTTTTGAGCAAAACGGCTTGTTGGGTTACTTTAAAAGCAAACATTTGAAAAAGGCTGGAAGCTAGGTTGGTGAATTTGATCAGCCTCTTGTCTGTTTTTCACTGAGATCAAGTTTTTGTATGAATTGATTAATTATAAAATGTTACTTCACATATACTTCTACTTATTTACTATTTACCCCTCCCTTTTTCAGCTTATCATAGTGTTGAGTCTTTGTGATTCTGTGAAGTGATCTAAATTTATGAATCACAACCGACATCTTGCATCTAATAATGGATCCATGCATGGAAGGTAAAAACTAATGGAATATTTTTTTTGGAACAGTCATGCAGCAATATTCATTTGACAATGACCAAACATACGGCCGCCTTTTCGTAGCTGCTCATGGTAACCGCAGAGGCGGAAGAGTTGTATAAATGTGAAGTGTTCGTGGGCAGAGTCGCAGTTGCTGAAGCAGTCGTTCCTGAACCCTGCTGATGTTGCTGTTGCTGCATCGCAGTAGTCTGCATGGTGGGGAGAATAGGGTCATCAGGGCTGGCAGAAGCACCGACGGGGTTATGCCGCGGACCTCGCAACGAACTTGCGTCGGACCCAGCCCGAATCCTCGGTGTCACCCCACTATAGCGACTCCCGTAAGTGTCTATCGCTGCAGCTACTCCCGCAGCACTCGCATACTGCGGCATCTCACTCTCACCTGCTAACTCCGCCAGCTTGGCGAAGCGCTGCTGTTCCAGGCTCGCGTCGGTCTTGTTGGAGGGGGAAATGGCAGTGATTTCAGGTAGACCGACGTGACCAGTCGTCTCATAGTAGGAAGGGTAGTTCGCAGGAGTCCAGGGAGGAAAAAGGAGGTCTTGTGTGGCTCCACTTTCTTCCACCTTCGTCGGATGGTATAGGGAACTGCCTGTCTGCTGCAGTGTCTGTTGCTGCTGTTGTTGGTGATGGTGGTGCTGGCGTTGTTGTTGCTGTTGGTGCTCGAAATAGACCGTCGTGTTTGAAGGGTTCGACAACCCAGAAGAGGGTGGAGGTGTTTGAGTAGTGGAAGAACTGAGCTTTGATTTGATTCTTTCGATTTCTATGGCACACATGTGTTTCACCGCATTCGGTTGTCTCCCAATTCGACTGCCTATAGTTTTAAAAGTATCCTGCTTTATCAACAAGACCGTAAGGCCGCTTTAATCGAGATAGCATAGTAGATTAGCGGCAAATATGAAAAGCTGACGTGCTACGCAAATAGAACTAACCTCAGATGTTACTTTACTTCAATCTTAAGCCACCTAGGGGCGTAGACAAATCTTAGAAAGTTTTGAGTGATAAGCTAGGAATGCTAAGATTTTATTCGTTTCCTAAAAAAACTGAGAATCTTGACAATATCAATCAATAAATAATGTAATAATTTTACCCGAAATAAATACGGTTTTACTTGCAGGTTAACGTTCTTATTAAGTTATAGTCCGTAAATGTATCTTTGGACAGAAAACAACAGGTAAACGTATGGTATTATCAACATTAATGTATTTGGATGATTCAAACGACCATGACCAAAACTACCTCAAGCCAATAAAAAGCACGAAATTTGAGAGTATCAGGGACAGCATTAAAAGTAGCACATTACAGGATCAAGGATATAATTATGTATTTTTATTTAATCATGTAAATTCAGTCAAATAAAGACGGTCTACAAACCTGTTGTCAAATTCCTTTTTATCCATAGGAATCTACCAAACTAAAAAAATTTCCTGTGCGGCCCAGATAATGAAGTAACGAGTAGATTAAGCTGGAGGTAGCCTGTCTTCTTACCATCTTTTGACATGCCAACAGAGAGGCACTTGCGATAGCGGCAACTCTTGCAGTTGTTGCGGGTGGCTAAGGTGATGAGGCACGTACCTCCGTTGCGGCAGGTATACCGCTGATTATCCCTCTCACTTATCGTCCTTCTGAAAAAGCCCTAAGAGTAGAGATATTTATGGTTAGGCAACATTTAATCTGTTAGGTCTGTGTAAGCATTCACTCCCCAATAAATGCGCACCTTACAGCCTTCGCAGGTGATGGCACCGAAATGGAATCCGGACGACTGCGCGCCACAAACGCGGCAAGGGATGATCGAGATGTCATTGGCCGGACACACTGCAGCCCCTACAATTAGTTGTAGGAAAAGGAAAGTCGAATTCACCAAATTTTTTAGGATGCGAAACATGATTTAATGGTGTCTGATATTCGTGTGTACGTGTGTGTGTGAGTCACAGCAATTTCTTTGCATTTCTGGGTGGGAAACACACAAGCGACAATCATACTTGTTCCTCCAGTTTCATAAGCTCTTTCTAATTGGAAAAAAAGACAGAGCTGCTGAAACAATTAACTGTGCATGGGCTTAGCTTATGAAAAATTGGGCTCTTGTGCGACAGGTAGAGATCATCGTGAGTTATTGAAATCGGCAAGTGCCTTACACTTAACCAGAGTTTAGAGAACTTCAATTACTTACCCTCAAAATAAGAATTAATGCATTAAATTTAAAAAACGACAAAAATTGGAAAAGGACTTTGTTAATAAGGATTTTTTTGCAAAATCGATGCTTTCGTTTATTTTAATTTACTTACAAATCTTCGCCCTAATATTATAAGAATAAATAGCAGACCAATAAAGATATTTATATTAAAAGACAGGAAGTCTATCCAAAAAGGTGTTGATAAAGTCTATCACTGAAACGTTGTCGTTACTCAAGGAGAATGTGCCAACAAAATTCATCTTTCTGCCGTGTTCGTGAGCTACCAGACGTCTTGATGGTTGAGAAACTTTCTTGTAGACCGTTAAAGCCTGAGAGCTCATTGTAACTGTGGGGCCAAAGATGGGTACGTGAGTGATAAACGACCGCTCAGATTAACTGGAGCAGTCAGGACACGACCTTCAGAACACTG